GGAGGATATATATATATATAGTGCAGTTTCCTATAACTCCAACCAAGTAGAAGAAACGCTAGACACAAAGGATTATGGGGCATAAGACTGTTTACGGCTCATATTCAACAGGCCCTCTGGCTTGATTTGATGCCTCTACATGTTCTTAGCTGGTCTTAGCAGCAGGAGACAATATCTGAATCATAAATTATGTAATCAATACTAACTTCACACAAGGCATCATAAACAGAGAAAAGAGGCCCATTTGAAATGCTGTAAAAGCTGGCATACGTCCGCGAGCTATTATTCAACCTGACTCATAATGGAGTGCGTTACGGGCGGTCATTACATGGACGCTGTTGCCGTGGGTGAAAGTGATCCCCTTTCTCTCTTCTTAATGTCACCGTGGCAACACAAATCACAGGTCAGGATGTTGAGCAGATTGTCGCATTACTTCAAAAGAAGCAGATGAGCAGTATGAGTGAATGAACGAAACAAATGTGCATATAAAGGAAGGGGGGAATAGTGTGCATGTGTTTCCTACGCAAATCCTCAGACGGCATAAAATCCACCATTTTTCTTTGATCTCTCCAGTGACCCAAGAAAAAGCTAAGGGAGTGAGAGCTGTACAGCAGACCTATTTCACTTCACCTCTAACCCTTTTTTCAGAATATGACCTTTAGGGTCTCGCTTTCCTCCGGCAAAGTAAAAATAAAAAAAAACACTGATTATTCGCCACTTATTGTGTCCAGACCGGGGCAGGGGGCTTTCAGAAGCTGTGTCAGACCTTTTACTGGAAGCCTGTGACTCACCCGTCTCCCCCCCGCCCCCCGATCCTCGCTTCATGTCCCCTTATCCCCCCCTCCTCTGATATGTCCAACTACTCCACTCAGGCTGAACCATACTAACCCACCTTAATCCCTTCAGGCAGCCCGAGCGTGCGGCTTTTTGAGGCAGGAGTTTGTTCTCGTGCTGCAGGTTTTTTTTCTTCTTCTCTCTAACTTTTATAATATGCATGTGTGCATGTGTGCATTCTGAGCAGTAAAGAATGTCACCGCAAAAGCCCCACCCTCCCCCCTGATTCTCGGGTCCTCCCCCCCTTCTTGTTCCCCTCTTTCCCGAACACAATGATCTCACCCAGCTGTCACTGCGTGATCCCACCCACACGCAGGTTGCTGCTGCCGCTGGTGACCTCTGACATCACTTGTTTTGTGTCGCCACGTCCTGGAAATCCAAAACACGCTTCCAGTCAGAAGCTTTTGGACAACGATTTGGGGCATTTTGGTTTTAAGTAGTGCTAACTGGTGCTGGTGCTGCACTCACTGTAAACGCTCCAACATGCAGGTGAAGAGTATTTGTAGAAGATTCAACGAAGAATATCAGAGCTTTTTCATTCTCGATAGGGTTCTGGTTAGAAATAAGAAAACCTGTTGATCCAACAGAACCGAACAAGATAAATTGGACTAAATATCAAATGGCCTCAAAAATCCAAAAATATATAAATCTTCTCTGACAACATCTAAACCGACAATTAAATCTGCAATAATTGTAGACAAAAGAAAGAAAGACAACTTTTAAATTACACAATTTAAAACGTCAGACAGCAGTGATTTGCTTACTTCAGATCACCATTAGGAAGATGTTGAGTCATGTTTCTTGCTGTTTGATTCATTTAGATCCAATTTTACCTCTTATTTTAGCTCTTGCTTTGTTCTTACTGACTCATGAGGGATATAACTGGCTAGTGGCTCATCAGCGTTTCTTTTTTTCTGCTACTAATAGTTGCCTGGTGCGCTGAACTATTAGAGCGGTGAGAGAGAACAAGAGCAGTGAAGTAGCAGGACAGAAAACAAAAACAATTCCATCGCTAGCCCTTGTGTACAAAAACCTTACTTACTGTGTATACAATTACCTATTTCTACGGTAGGCCTATACTGTACTGGTAGTACAGGTACCCTAACCCCACTACGCAACACGGCTTCTTTTTGCCACACAAACATTTCCAGCTCAAAGCATGCAGGGTCCTTTCTTTTTTTCCCTAAGTTTAGGGTATTTACAGTGCGCATGAAATATGGCACAACATAACAATTTGCAAGGAAACCTTTTCCTGGTGTTGGCACGCTGGCTGAGAACCAACGGAGAGACACTTACTTTCATTGTTTCTCCTCATGAAGCTCTGATCAATAATGTACTATCAGAAACTTCTGTAGTCGAAGTGTTTATCTGGTGCAGTTTTCTGTAAATACAGAATAAGTAAATATTTAAATGCTGTGGTTTTGCCTTCATGCATTTACTCTGCAATGTGGCCGGTGAAGAAGCAGGATCCACGTTAACGAAATTAAACCACCTTGTCATTTAAGCCTCCTGCTGCATGTTCCCCTCCTGTGTCTGTATCCCTCACATTACCGTACCTCTGCATTCAAGTCATTCATTTCCTACTGAAAGACAGCAATTTATCCCTTTTTCGTTTTTTGTTAGGAACCATTTCAAAGCTGATTAAATATGATGTGATTCATACGATGATAAATGCTTCCCAAGGGTTTTAAGATCTCAAGAAATGCCTGTGTGCCTTTCACAGAGTGAACATGGAAGGTCATTGAGCAACGGTGGTGGTGTTGACCACCAATGGAGTTTAATATTATTTCCTTTGACTTCCCTTGAGTTGCCGCTCTGACGGCGAGTCCTCCTGAACAGCTCGTGGGCGTCGAGCAGCCACATCGAGAAAAAAAAAGAAGCCAAACCTCTCGAGGGCCCTCACCGCCCGTCGCCATGGTCAAGCACCACCGGAAGGCGATGCAGGTGTGCGTTCGTTGGCCGCACTACGCAGCCGGAAGTTGTGCGCTCGGGGTGCGTTGTGTAGGAGTTGGGTTATTGAAACGAGAAAATCCTGCAGCCTGGAAGACTCAGAGATCAGCTATTCTTGCCTCGACGGTGATGCGTCATAATGTAAGAGGCGTCGGTGTTGAGCGCCGCCCACAGCGTTGGGGCCCGGCCGTGCTTTAAATCTGGCGCTGTGCTTATGTAATTTGGTGTTTATGCAACAGAAAAAGGGATTGGACGGACTCTGTTGAGGTGGACGGCAGCGAGGCAGTGGCATTTGAGCGGGTGGGTACTGTGCGCACCCACCTTGCTTTAATTACCATATTTCAGAGGACAATTAGGCTGTAGGAGGGGAGCAGAGTATACATAGTTACAGGTCATTCTAAACATTTAGAGAAAGAGATGAGGTGGGGTTTTTAAACTCCGACAGAGTGAAAATCAACAAGAACCTGTTGAGGACGCAAGTACGACGAGACTGAACATTTATTCCTGTTGTTACTTGAACACGTAGATGATCTTTTTGTTTTCCCTGCAATTTAGGGATAACGTTGTGTCATGGGTGGAGTCATTTCTCCATCCTCGCGGGTTTGGTAAATCTTCAGGTATCAGCAACATTACTGTCGTCAAGGCCGTTTTTCTCTTGAATCTCGAGTGAAAAAAGGTTTACGCAAAGACATGCCATCAATGCACACCGTGTAAATAAATGAACTTCTTTGGAAGGAACGCTTTGCCCTCGCAGCCTGCTGCGTTGAATAGCATACACACTACAGCAGAGGGTCAACAACTTTTATGATTATAGATTTACTCTGAGCTACAATTTAATGGTTTACCAATAAACAGCGACAGATCCAGGTCTTTTGAGAACGGCCATGACCGGGTGTAATTACCTGTGAGCCACAGTACGGCATGAATGACCAAATAGTCTGAGAGTGTGTGCATTACGCTTCACACACACAATTATGTGTGGGACAGCATGTGGCATGTGGTATGTTATGTGACATGTGAACTAGTGTTAGAGCTGCAACAACACTTAATTAATCCTGCTTTCAACTGCATCACCACAAAATGAGATTAAAGCTGCACCAACTAATAGAATCTATATTGCCAATCATTTAAACATGAAAGGAACCACACAGAGTCATCCTCCAACTCAGCAGTCCTCCTCAGTCTTATGGAGCGATATAGTGATGTTTAGCTCATTGTTTTGGCTCTCTTGCCCTTATACTTTTCACCACTATACTTTTCTATGACAAAAGTCAATAGTTTCTATTGAAAGATCTCTGATAAAACCAGTGAATGCTGCTTGCCTAGGATAGGATAATGGAGCAGTAGCGTAAGAGCCTGGCTGGTGAACACAGTGAAGCATTTACTGGATAAAAACTTTCTCAGGAGTTGGTGTTTATTCTTTTCCTCGTGAGACAAAGGTATGGCAAATGTGTTTTCAGTGTTCTACTGCTGCCCCCGCAATGTCCAAATTAATAAATTAATGAATGCAGCTTTGAGCCAACAAAATTTCCACTCTAATGAGTTACCTATTTTAGACCTGATTTCAAGATGGCACCCGCCCACTGCCATCTGATTTCCACAGTGCCGAAATGATTAGCAACTTTATAAAGGGAGAAAGCATATTCCAAAGTTCAGCAGTAATGATTTATTGCAAAATACATTGATATACAAAAAGAATACAACCATATTTATACTTCAACACTACACTTCTTGCTCACTTCTGGATTCATTGTTGCCATCATCTCACAATACACAACAGCATAAAATGAAACACATTTTCTTCCTTTTCATCTTCTTAATATATGGCTGATTAATTACATCATTTAACAAGATAAAATGCAAGCTTTTACTTTTACAAACGCTTGATTTTTTAAGACCCAAGACACCCACACAAACACACGCACACGCCCACACACACGCGCACATACATTCCTGGAGAAACCCTACACCTTCCGTATTTCAGCTCCAACAAAAACATTCGCTACACCCCCCTTGATATATGTTGAGAGGAAGGAATTCGACGGACGGCCAGTCAGCCAATCAGATTCTCTGAAGTTTTCGATTTTTTAGTCCCGTCCCCTGTGATTGGCCCGCGCCTCCCCAGAAGGACCCGCCCCCGCGCGGCGATTGGCCGGTTTTCCCGGCTCCACGGAGGGTCGCTTGAACCCGCCTCGCTCTGAGAGGCTCGTTTCAGCGCCGCTGGTTCAAACCGAGTCAAATATCAGCGGCGGACACACAATGGACGAGAGCACAGCGCAGACACACACCGCCGAGAGACCTGTGGCTTGTTAGACACACACGCAAACACACGCTGTGCAACTTTATCCCGGTGTCATGGCGGGCAGCGGACACCTCTGACGGACCGGACGGTCCTCGTTCTCTGCGCTTTTTATTGAAGTTATCGCAGTCGGACATTGAGTCGCATCCCATCAGCGGTAAGTCGCGCGCGGGGGGGCGATGGGTTTCTTCATGGCAGCAGTTCCATTCAATCTCATCCCCTTTATGTTTTCTTTCATCACATTCATTCAAGATGCTCAGGTGGCCGCAGAGCCGAATCTAGTTTTGTTTTTCTTTCTCAGCGCTACAACAAAACCTTTAATTACAAATAAAAAAAATAAATCCTGTTAACTCAAAAGCATTTATTCGGCGTGGCGGGTGTTTTGCAAATGGGTTATTACACCCTTCCCTTGGATTCCATTCTCTCCCCTCCTACATACCCACACTGTTGTTGTTGTTGTTTACCGCCCATGTGAGTTTATAATTAGGCTCGCTGTCAGACTCGCGCGCGCACACGTTACTCACCGACACCTGCGACGGGACGCCGGTGGCCGCTTTTACTTTTAGTGTGTTATGACTCAGTTAGAAACCCATCATGTGGGCCAGGCATGCCGGCCTGGTTCGTGTGTGTGTGTGTGAGAGACCAACACTTTGTGTGTCTTTAGGGAAAAGAAAAAACGAGCCTGTGTTCTCCTGACTTTAAACAGCATTATTCTCTCTGCACACTTAAATATAAACCCTTAATAACTGGCTGAAACTAGCACAGCAATGAACCTCACATTGAAATGTTTCATTTATTGTGGGGATTAGAAACAAAAGGCATTGTGAGGAACACAGGCAACATTCCGGGCTGGTGAGAAATGTGTGTGTTGTGCTGTGTGTGGGAGATTTGTAGGTTTATGGGCGATAGAAAACGTGTTTCTGTGTGACAGAAAACCCCTTTACAGGAGCTTATCGGGTTATGAAATCCCATCAGCAGAGGAGATAATGTCTCTTTATCCTTTCTGGCAGTAGGTTAATACTGTACTAGCCTACCAGATCATGCAAGGGACCAGCGCGTGCGTCTCCTTGTGTGGATCCATACACTTCTAGCCCTGTGTGTGTGTGTGTGTGTGTGTGTGTGTGGAGCCTCTACACACAGGAATGCGTGCTGGAAAAGATAAAAACAGGACTAGCATTGGGTGAATTGTTTTCCAGTTATCTCCCTCAACGTGAGCACGGCGTCCGTATCCGGTCGCCCCGTCTATCTTCTCGACGTAGGTGCAGGTGCTGGTCAAGCGTATCCCGATGTGTCTGGTGGTTTCACAGCACCTGACCCATGAGATTACTGCAGCGTGAGTGCATAGGGTCGTGACCCCCACCCGGACCCCACCCCCCCTCTCGCCCGCCACTCCCACCTCCCCACTTTGCTTTGGTCTCGTGTGGTCAGGTGACGATGATGGTCTAACGCCTGGCGGTCGCTAAAAGGTTTTGAGCATGAGACCTCGAATAGGAGAACTGTGGGGCAGATTCATTCGAAGTGAAAATACCCCAAAACGCAAAGCATTGTGGGTAGAGAAAGATGGATGAGGAGCTTTTTTACTCAAAACAGCATGTGTTGCAATGAGACTCATGACGATAGCTCAGATTCCTTTTTAGATCTTTTTATTTTCACAATCTTTAACTGCAGCGCTATAACAGCTGAATGGGTGCGAGGTGGAGCTACGCTGAAAGGTTACGATGATGCACCAGCTGATTGCGACTATCGTAAACTTAATTGCATAGTTCACGAGTCACCAAACAACACGTGGATTATAGGTCAGGGAGTATTTTAAAAGTCTCACAGGCCGCTGCGTCCCCACACAGTTCAGCTGACTACTGTGTTTCACGAATATTCACTTCTCTTAAGAGGAAGTTACAAATAAAAGTCAGGGGAATCCCTCCGTCGTTGAGCAAGAAGATGGATGGAATTGCCGTTGTTTTTCTTTCGCTCTCGTCGTGCTGTTTAAAGGGTGAACCGTAGTGTGCAGCTTTGCCAAAGCCGGCAGTAAGCGATACGAGCGCAGCCCGAACTTTAACCTCATTTATTGTGAAGAATAAGGCTGACTGTGAAGGGTTTCCCCACAGACGTCCCGCCCACACGCCTACACGCCTAACCCGCTGCGACTTACTGGTGTCAAAGTACGCACTTTACAAAGTAGAGGCAAAGGTGGCCGTGCATCGCCCCTTTTAGCGCTCTGATGAATTCGCTTTAAAGCTCTTCTTATCAGCTGATTTGCCTCTGACGCCGTGTGTCCACATCGCGGTCACCTGCGTGTTTTCTTGCTCTCAGGTTAAAGGCCTCGGATGTGACAGGAGTCCTTGCAAACGAACAAACCATCTCCTGTTCCTTCCAGGTCCTGGCGTGGTTAAAAGCATCAGGGTTTACTATTATTAGGTCGGTTTCATTCTGGCTCCGTTGGCCTTGAATACGTGCCTACTAAGACAGCCGTGGGGTCCCCACACACTGTGACGCACCAACTGTTTCACACCAAAAATCCAGCCGCTCGAGGCCACGTGAAGTTATATCTGCTCACGTCGGTACACAAGCTCCCGAGGTGGCCTGGCGTACCTTTTTTTCGGCGGCCTTGCAGCCAAATGAAAGTGCAGATTTACGCCGCGTGACCTCGCGGTGGATGACGCCTGTGAACGTGTATCAAGAGCCCCTTGCAGGAGGAAGACAAAGTCTGCTCGGCACTGGTGACGTGAAGACGATCATCCCGGGCCTCGGTTCCACGCGGAGACCTGGCGTCACGCGTCCTGACGGGGGCCAGCCGAGTGTGTGCGAAAGCCGCTGTGTGTGTGTGTGTGTGTGTGTCTGATGTGATCTCTTCCTGGGAGTCTTTGTGTGGTTGTTAATGCCATGACAGGATAGATAATACCTCTATTGTTGGAAAGCCCCCCCTGCCCCCTCGTACGCTCCCCTCCGGCTATAGCTGCTCTCGGCATTGCTGGCTGGACCTTTTTTTTGTTTTGTTTTTAAACCACATTGTTGTGATTTGGAATAAAATGGTCTGCCGAAGGTTGAAAGATTTCGGGTTTTTTCCGGAACCGAATGGAGTGAAGTTGGTCTTAAGCCAACGATGCTTTGCTTTGGAATCCAAGAAGGAATTAAACGCACCTAAAACACTTCTTTCCTTTCACAGTCCTTTCCTGGTAAAAGAAATGACTTTCAAAATGCAGTATTAAAAGCTAAAGTGTCAAATTTCATTGTGCTGCCAAATGACCTCGTCGTCCTGTCTTTGAAGCAGCTTGGAGGAATCCCCAGTGGATTTAAATCCATTAGCAGTTGATATCAGCCTGCAGCTCCATCAAATGTCCAATTAGTTTGACCCTTCTGCTGAACCGGGTCGTTCCAGGCACCCGGCGCTGCAGTCGGGGGGTCATTTGTCAAACAGGGGACAGGGTTTGTTGTTGCAGTATGAAACGGATGCCAGTGGCAGGAGGGGGGGGGGGGGGTGCACGACAAAACACGCTTGTATCCTTTTTGGTTTCGTTGGCATAAAGCGCAGACAAAGAGCAGAGAACATTTCTGCTCCCTCCTGTACGTCGCCGCATGACGTCCCTTTGCAAGGCTGCACTTTTTTTTTTACAAAGTTTACAAATAAGAGAATTCAAACAATGCTCTCAATGTGGAATTATGCTCCCAAACACCGTCATTAGGGCGTCTGCGGCGAGCCCAACCTATCATTTAGAGAGCGTAGCATTTTTGGCGGCCGCGACATGGAAGCCGCGAAACCACCCGAAGGGTCAACTCTTCAGGAAGTCGGTTCTGGAAAAAAACTGATTTCAGCCGCGTTTCCCAAGCGGCGCGAGGTCACCTTTTCAACGCAAACAAGAGGCCTCAGAGACGGCGTCCCCAAAAAAACCAGTTAGATGCCTTATCTCAACGTGACCACCAGAGCTCTTCCAGATTGCATTACATGGTGACTTTAGGAAGATAAAGCCAGCGTAATCTTTTAACGGGGTTAGAGGGAAAACAGACGGGCCGGCGCTGGCACCACGCCGGGCCCCCGTGGCACACAGGAGTGTGTGGGTGTGTGTGTGTGCGTGTGTGTCGCTTTGCTCAAGCCATCGTTTGTTTATGTGTGACGTGTGTGTGTGTGTGTGTGGGGGGGATTATACCGGCATGGGGCTTGGCGCCGTGGCTGACATGGGTGTGTGTGTGTGTGTAAGATGTTGGCCCGGGCAAACACTCCTCCGTCGGCGCAGCGCTGGACAAACAAATGTCGGCTGGATTCCTGCAGCGTCTGGTTTTCTGGCAGAGCGTACGTGCGCGCGCACGGACGAAAACAGAAGCAGGATAAAGACGGCTCCAGAGTTAAAGCACGCCGTGGTGGTGATCTGGGATCAGCTTACCAAACTCAAATCCAATTATCTACACCATTAAGGCAAAAAAAAAAAAAAAAAGATCCATCTGCTGGGCTATTTTTTTCCACCCTTATGGCAAAAACAATAAAGCAGAACTAAAAGGAAACGTCACGTGACCTTTGGGGAAAGAGAACTTCACAGGGGGAATCTTTCAAAATTCCAATCCAAAACGGTAAAAAAGGAGGGTTAAAGTGACGTGATTATGTGTAGATATCGACTTGCTCAAACAGATATTTTCACAACATGTGACTCGCGGCTCGTCAGTGCAACAGCTGTGAATACGGGTGTTTGGTGACATAATGAGGACAGATGTCATTTAGAACCTGCAGGCATAACTGTCGTTCATAGTGTGATATTAAATAACTATTAGTGAGATCTGATCTACAGAAAATGAATCCAAAAAGTATTACTATGTGCCAATAGTAAATGTAATACATCCTCTTCTCCAGGTCACCATGCCTCCCACAACCCCGTACGCCGGAAAGTTCAGCCCCTGCGCCCCTTACGGCAACAACAACAACAACCACCCCGCGCCTCACAGCGCGTACCGCAACGGCACCGCCGCCGGCCCGGAGCCCGCCAGGGAGAACGTCTACAACGGCGCCTACGCCGCCGCGGAGAACCCTTACGACGTGCCGCAGCCGCACGCCGCGTACCGCAGCTCCTCCGTGTCCTCCGTCGCAGCCAGGGAGCGCCATTACAACGGCGGCTGCGCGGTTTCGGAGAACCCGTACTCCTCGCCGCGGCCTCACAGCCCCCGGCAGCACAGCACCTCCTGTCCCGGGCGGGCCTACCGCCACACCACCGCCGCCAACACTGCCAACACCACCACCGCCAGCAGCAGCAGCGGCGGCAGCGAGCAGTCCTCTCGCAACAACTCCGTTGCGGCGAAAGGCCGACGCTACGGACACGGCGTCACCGCTAGCTACGGGGAGATGTGTTACCATGACAACAGCTTGGTTTCAGCATCCCTCGAGGCCCTGATCCAGCACCTGGTCCCCACGGTGGACTACTACCCAGACGTAAGTGTCGGTTTAAGTGGTTAGTGGCTGTAGAGGACAGATTTCCTGTGTGTGTGTGTGTGTTCTTGTCGTGAGAGCTGTCGTGTTTCTTCATCATCAGAGGTCGTACGTGTTCACCTTCCTGCTGAGCTCACGCCTCTTCCTGCACCCGTACGAGCTCATGACGAGGGTTTGTCACCTGTGCGTGGAGCAGCAGCGCTCCGGGGACGCCCTGCTGGACAAGGTGGGCGGATTACACGCACACACACTCACGTAACATACGCACTGCTATAATTTGTCTTTGTTTCACTCCTTCCCACACGAACTCACGCCCACGCATAAACACCGCCACACGGACACAAACCGCTTCAGTATTTAATGACTGTTTTTACGAGCGTTCGGGGCTCTCGTTGAAACCACGGGCAACACAAACGGAGCGAGGATGTAAACAGCAGCATATCGTGTCAGATTCCGTCACGTAACAACTTCTGTGACACACAACAGGCCGTGTGACGTTTTTGTTGCTTTTTGTGTTTTTTTTTAAAGATACGCTTCCGCGAGGTGGCGCCCAAGCTGGTGCAGCTGCTGACCGAGTGGACGGAGACGTTTCCGTACGACTTCAGGGACGAGAGGATGATGCGCTGCCTCAACGACATGACGCAGCACGTGGCCCGAGGAGACGAGGTCAGCGCCGCCAATCGCCGCTCTTTTGTTTCCCCCCTTCAAGTCAATTTAATGATTTGTATTCTCAAGCGAGGATTGCCAAACGGCCGATAAGGCCTTTAATCTTCAGCCACATCAGCGTTAAAGCCTTTTTTCCTAGTGTCCAAAAAGCGTTTTTAACACAATACCTGGAAAAGCGTCTCCCAATACGTCAACAGGAATGTGGCTCTTGACTTCTCGGCCCAACGCCGCCATTACCATTCGAAAATATTGACGTCTGTATAAAGAATCGATATCTGACGACCCGCGTTGCGCTTCCAGTACTCGTGGCGGGCCATGCAGCAGATGACCCAGCGGCTGATCAAGCGCCTGTCGGCCCTCGGCCAATACGAGGAGGCCGTGTCGGCGCTCAGCGCCGTGGCGATGGAGCGGCCCGCCTCCCTGAAAGGCAGACAGGCCGCCGGTCAGCGGGGCGACGTAATGAGCGCGTGCGACGACCCCTTCGTCCTCGCACAGCAGCTCACGCACATCGAGCTGGTAAGAAGAGATTTCCGGGGGCCCGTACGACCATCTGTTGTGGGATCAGGAGGCGGATCTGCGGTCGCGTGACTGATGTTCTCACCGTGTTTCATGTGTCGGCGTGTGGCTGCTGTTTAACAGGCCTTTTATTTACTCCACTTAATTGGTTTAAAAACACATTTCTAAGCTTAATGAAATTCTTGCTGCCGCTACCTTCTTTTTTGTTTTGTGTGCGGCTTTTTTGTTGACTTATTACTTGGTTTCATTGTTTTCCCATAAACCCCTTTTGTGGTCTTTTAAAAAGAGAAAGTTAATTAAAACTTTTCTATGAACTTGAACTGATTTGTTTTATTCTTATATTCTTAATAATTAAACTCTTCCGAGGTATTTTTGTAGTTTTCTGTTCTCGTGGTCCACGCCCCCTTTCTTCTTGATCCTCTGCCCTTCGTGTATTCCTGTTTTTGTTGTCCTGATTGTTTTCCGTCCCTGTTTTCTGCCTTCAGGACAGACTGAGTTTTATTGGTCCCGAGGAGTTCATCCAAACATTCGCCATGAAGGATCCTTTGGAGAACCACAAGGTACAACGGAGTTTCAGTTCTGCGTTACTCCAAAAAGGAGCCTGTGAGACAGATAGATATTAAACACACTTTTTTCCTTTGTATGAAATGATGCTGATTAAATTAATATGGAAATGAATAAAGCGTTTTTTCTACTACAATATTTAATGACATCTGTCAGAATTAGTAAACAGATGGAACCAACATCTATAACTTTTTGTTTAAAGAAGAACGCAGCATGATCCGTCTAATTATTATTATCACAAGCATCAAAGAAATGATAAAGAAAAGCCCCAGATTGTAGTTATTTTTATTTGAAGCCTGCTCAGTTTTACGCCTACTTTGATGATGTAATTTGTGGTCTGCCTCAGCTCAGGTTGATTCAGAAGCCACATGGAAGATCCTTTTTTTTTTTTCTTAATTTACCCTTTAAAAATGCATCAAACACAGTATGAAAGAACCATCACGCGTATGTCTAAGTGTACCTGAAGGGCTCTTTTCCTCCTAAGTGGCCCTGTGAGTCAGCTGAAGCGGCCGCTTTCAATCAGCGCTGCCCAGAACGAGCTTTCAGCCGCTGCTTGTTACCCAGCTGTGCTGCGGCAGTTATATAAGATCCACTTTGTATAAAAGAGCAGGTTGAGTCAGCGTTAGGGGTCCTGAAGTGTAAAGGGGAAGTTTGGATCGGAGTGGGCTGCTGGTGTTGTGTAAGCAGCTAATAGAGACATGAATCTGCGGGATTACATCATCACGGGCCAAGGCGAGGTTATTTATCCAGCGCTTTTGTTGTATAAATGTTATTTTTTTAATATAAAAGTGCCTCTGGCAAACCGGTCCACCACAGATTGCCTCACACAAAAACCAGAAGCAGACTGAATTGAGATGGAAATAACAACAGAGACGTCACTGTGCAGGTGCACGGGTTGTGTGGGTGTGAGGGCTTTGGAGATCCATTCAATAAGGGATGAAAAGAAGAAGACCGGCTCGCCCTTTTTATTCCTTTTTTTCTGTGAAATGATTATGAGTTAGAAGTTATGCTGCAGAGTATCACAATCTCAATTCTTTTTTCGTCAGGTCAGAAAGATTGCAAAAAAATGAGCCCCAGATAAACCAAAGAAATGGCTCAAACTAAAACGTAGCCCAAGGTCCACCTGCTAAATTGTCTTCCCGTTGTCTTCCTCGGCAGATGGAATTAGCTCAGTATTTGCATGCATTGCTTTTCTTAGCAAACTCTTATCTGTTGAGGAAATCCATGATATGAAGTTGAAAGCTCCAGAAAAGGCTCGTAATGCAAACCGGATTTTCAGGTTTCAGTAACAAACGCGTTGAAAGAAAAGGTTGTATGCGGTTGTGTTCACATGTTTGCGTTGCATTGGTGTTATTCTACCCCGGGTGCCTTTTTTGTGACGTTTACATAAAGTAACCTAACCTCTAACAATCAAAGTCATCGTTTATTGTCCTAAAAAAAATAACCAAATACAAACAGGACCATGGTTTAAAATTACACAAATGTGTCGTTTTTCATGCATGCCTTTTTGACATGTCTGTCTCTGTCTTTTTTTCAGGGTTTCTTCCGGAAGCGTAAAACCAGTAACCTGGAGGCCTACATCAACTGGTTCAACAGACTGAGCTACCTGGTTGCCACGGAGATCTGTATGGTACGTTCTCCTCAACAGGACCAGTTCCCCCTCCCTGTCCCCTACCTGTCCCCTCTCTGTCCCCTCTCTGTCCCCTCCCTGTGTGTCACCCACCGGAGCTTTTGTTGTTCGACGGCCGTCTCTCTGAAACTGGTGTGTTCTTTCATTACAGCCGGTGAAGAAGAAACAGCGAGCGCGTATCATCGAGTTCTTCATCGATGTAGCTCAGGAGTGTTTCAACATCGGCAATTTCAACTCCCTCATGGCCATCATCAGTGAGTACTCGACCTAGTGACTCCCCCCCCCCCCCGCATTGTTGTAATGAGGTTGTTTTTGGGATATGAAGTGGATTGGGATTCCCACCATTTCTCTGTTGAACAGACAAAAATTGGATACAGGTCAAGAAGTAAAGTGCCGGCTGGAGTGCAGCAGTTTGCTTCAAATACTTACACAGCTACTCTGTCTTTCAGCCGGAATGAACATGAGTCCTGTTGCCAGGCTGAGGAAAACCTGGAGTAAAGTCAACACCGACAAGTTTGAAATCCTGGAGGTAAGAAAACCTGCACGCATCCCTGATTTCCTGCTACATCAACTTTACTGTATTTCTGAATGGATTGATTTATTTGAAGTTGACTGCCAAACCTTTGACCCACGTCGGCTCTGTCTGACCCCACTCAGCACCAGATGGACCCGTCCAGTAACTTCACCAACTACCGCACGGCGCTCCGCGGCGCCACGCAGAGGTCTGAGACGGCCCACAGCAGCCAGGAGAAGGTCAGGAGGGGGCACACAGGGGGGAAATAAATCCCAATACACAGAGTGTAGAACGTCAATTTAAAGCCAATGGTGTCTCTTTCCTCCAGATTGTGATCCCTTTCTTCAGTCTCCTCATTAAAGACATCTACTTCCTGAACGAAGGCTGCGCCAGCAAGCTGACCAACGGGCACATCAACTTCGAGGTCAGTCCGCAAATTTAAGAGATTGGTTGATGAATCAGATCGAGGTCTGAACTTTTGATGTGATTGTGTTTTTTTTTGGCCAAAGCTGATCCATAGAAGCTATGATTTGAATGTTCACTGTGAAATGATGTAACTGCTCCACAGTCATAGGTATGGTTTTGACAAGAGGCTTTCAAACCGTATGTAGTTGTGCCCTCTTGTGGTCTGAAATGAGCATTACACCTCCTCCTATTGCTTTTTTCAAAGCCTCCCTACGTTGTATATCATATATTGTACATTATACACCTGTTTAATAGGGGTCGGTGTTCATAATGTCTCAACAGAAACTTTGGGAGCTTGCGAAGCAGGTGAGCGAATTCCTGGTGTGGCGTCAGGTGATTTGTCCGTTCGACAGAGACCGCCGGATCCTCCAGTATCTTGTCACCACGCCTGTCTTCACTGAGGATGGTCAGTATGCGATCTTCTCCGTGTATTTCTCTTAATTGTATATGAGTTGCACGGCTGCCGTGTTCCCCGAGTTGGAGAAGGAGTGAAGGCTTCATCTTGTTTTTGTTGCTGCAGAGCTGCACCTGGCGTCGTATGAGAGTGAAGGGCCGGAGAACAACATGGAGAAAGACAGCCGTAGGTCTCTCAGGTGGGTGCACGCACGCTCAAAACCATCAAACCACTGCAACAAGAACATATGAGATCAGCTCAAATAAATAACTGATAACCCGTGTTCTGTTTTACAGATCCTCCCTTCTGCATCGAGAGAATCGGTCCTAAGAGAACGACATTCTGCTCTGCAGACTGAAAATGAACGAGGTGTTTTAAAGCTACAGGTTCCTTCACAGAATCTCTCCTGGACACATTTTCACATTCCCTTCGGAGAACAAAAGCAGCCGGGCCCATATTCTCACATAAAGGGAAAGACTACACTGGTGTACCCTTTCACCAACCTTTGATGAAATCAATCACGACTTCACACGCTGCAGTTTTCAATCTTGCGATTCCCGAAGGGAGCTCGGAGTACTGATCAGGATCATCATCTGAGCTCCCTCTCAACATCAGCTCTTCCCCAGGCACTTACAGGACTTCAGGCTGTGGATTTAGCTTATATCTCCGGTGGACCCCTTTTGTCACGGGCACAACATATTGTTGAGGGACCCCCAGTGTGGAAGCGTAAAGGGAGACGGACGGATGTGGACCCGATCGCCATCATTGCGACATCGCCACTGTCGCCCCGCAGACGAACGTGGCTGAGTTGAGTTCGGACCCACAGAGGAGAGACGCACTCTGAAAGATCAATCTGTATTATAGCTAACAGGCTAATTCCTGCTTTCAGAGGTGGTGCTTTCTGCGCGGTGTTGTCTTGTCGAGTGCTTGATTGTGATGGCGACGCCGTGAGCAGCAGAGGCGCCGCATCCTTTCCACCTCCCCTCCGTTTACACACAGCATCGATTTCCGTCTCTTTTGGAGGCCGTGATCTGATTTTAGAAAGACGCTAATGCAAGTCAATACATCAGCTGCACATAGCCCGCCCCGCTCCACAGACACTGCACTCATGCTATCGGGTTCTGCACGTTTTGTGATGTTGTGCACTTTGACTGCGTGCCGGCGGTGCAGAATTGTGCGTAAGCGACGTGCCCCTAATCATGCAAGTTAAATCAAATGCACTTCAGTGGGTTGACATGTATTGTACTATGGGATGTGGTGACTCCTATTTTAAGCTGTCTTTCAACACAGTATTAATTTGTATTTTGGATCAGAACGTAAAGAAATGTGTATTTTTTTTCTCCATGTATTTTTGTGTCCCTGTGAGCTTGTTGCTGGTTGGCTGGCTCTGTGTTGGTAAGCTAGCTTTAACACCAGTTCATGTCACACGGAAGTGTTTTGGGTCCTTCATTTGGGAATGAAACAAGGAGTGATGTTTGTGTGTGTGTGTGTGTGTGTGTGTGTGTGTGTGTGCGTGTGTGTGTGTGTGTGTGTGCGCGCAGCCTGGATACAGTTATTTCTCCTCTTCAGCTGATCTGTGATGACGTGAGCTCGATGTGTTTCTTACAAATCTGCTATCGTTCTATTTTTTGTCGTTGTCCTTTTTTGGAAAAAAGCTTATTTTACGAGTGTTTTCTCACGTATTTGTGTGTATTATTTTGTGCTACCGGTCAGGGTACTTGTACTGAAGGTCGTTGTGAAAAGAGAATTATATTTTTTCTTTCAAATAAACAGAATAATGAAAACATTGTTATTTTTGTTTCCCTCCCCAGGTGCAGTAACCTCTAAATGCAATAACACCAGAATATACGTAAAGACGTTTATTTACAATACATGTTGGATAAGAACAATCGTCTCTTGAGTGTACGTGGCATTAATCTTAGGCCAAAAACTGCAAAGAAGCGAAATGTGTTGATCCTCGTGGTCAGACATCAGTGACGCTGAACTCTGGTGAAGTTAATACAGCGTCCCTGGAGATAAATAAAAGCCAGACATTTGCAGTTAGAGGAAAATATAAAAACACAATAATCAAAATCTCATCAGCGATTGAGAAGACAAAAAAATCCTAAAACATCTACACGCGTATTATGTATTCAAGCTGTCTTTGAAGTGATGACATTTACACAGTGGTTTATTACGACTGAGTTGGTGCAGTAAGCTGTTATTAGTCTGTTGGGTGGATAATTAGAGGGGAGTTCGGGCTGTATCATCTGTTATTATCTAATCAAATCACTGGCGTCGGGAGGACGGATCCGTTTTGTAATCAAATTAACTGGTGACAGGGAATGATTCAGCAGGCAATGATGATGAAGTATTATGAAATGAAAGCAATCCCTGTTCCCCTTCCATCGTTGAATAGTACTCTTACCTTGTCGCGAGGCGTCGGCCTCATGATCGCCACTCTGTCGTACTGTCTCCTCATTAACGCCTGCAGCGCATCAAAACGGCCCTGAAAGTCCAGTCAGATTAGGTTATTTTAATCAATGACACAATATCATATTGCAGATGAAGAACAGTATGCCACACCGACATCATCACATTTATTTGTATGTGCGTGTGGACGGGATCAGAAACACATCTTAGCCTTAAAGTCGTAGATATCAGCCGCCCGTATGAGAGAGTCTCGTCCTGTGGTGGGTGAGCGATCGTCTCACCTTGATGGGAGTGTACCATTTGGGCCGTGGTGGCGGCGTGTAGACTGGAGGAGGTCTCGGCGGGGGTTTAGACAAGATGGGCTCCTCGACTCCCTCCGGCATTGTGACCACTGCGTTTTTGGCTTTCTCAAGCCGGGAGCCTTCCTCTGTGGACCCCATCTGGCCCCAGCGCACCTGCGGACCACGAGCACACCGACTCCCGTACTGCAACCACGTCAACACGTTGAGGTCGAGCCTACAAGTAGGAGCTTTTTTCCATTACCTCCATGCGCTTGATTCCTCCAGCACCTCTGCCACCATAGTAGGAAGCGTCCACTGTGGGCCACTGGTGTTTGGCTGAGGGATCTTCTTCTGGCTCCTTGAAAACAAGCAAAATGCTGGAGTGCTGGAGTACTATGAGCAGACATTGGACGCTGCCTAGAGTCCAAGATGGCATCGAGCGGGAAAATCCAAACTTCAGGCTCAGAATGCCGAGTCAGTTTTTAAACTATCTGTGGTAAACTCACATTGACAGGAGGTGGCGGTGGCGGTGGCGGCCGAGACGGGGGCGGGTCTCTGATAACCTGTGAGAGAGAATGTGAAAAGAACAAATTAAATCAATGTTATTATCGAAACACTGGCCAAACACTGTGGGCTACCTCAATAAATATGAATCCCACTGAAATGTGGCCTGTGGTTCCACACTTACACGCGCACACACACACACACACACACACGTTGTGTAGGCTGAAGACTCACCACGGTGCAGCAGAGAGGCCAGAACCACCAGAAGAAAGCCAGAGCTAGAAGCAGCAAGAGAGCCAACAGCAACCAGAGCACCCAGGTCCCATCTGACTGCAACAAACAAACCCATCAGACCCACGCCGGTGTCGACTCTGCGTGGAAATGGACAGTTTCTGCTCTACGAGGCAAACTTCAGCACTGGCAGGACCTGATACTCACACACGCTGTAGCACGGATGGTAATGGGACCGGAGATGTAGGATTGTCCGTTGTTCAGGCTCACCAGCACTTCGACTGATCTGCAGAAGGCAGGAGCAGAAATGATGGAGAAATGTCCCCTTGTATTGATTTATTGATCATTAAGGGGTCAAGTGACAACCTTAATGTTTGACAGCGATGCCTCTGCGTAACATTGCCAGTCTCCCAGTTGACCTTTCAACGCCAACGCACCGTAAAAAGGAAACACTTGGCACGAGTGTTTTAGTGAGGAGGGAATGTTGCAGAGTGGGTGAGACATGATGGAAAGTGAGAGGCGACGGGGGACAGATGGAGGGGGAGAGAGAGGGCGCTGTTGGAGGTGGGTGAAGCACCTTGAGCTGCTGATGGTTTCTTTGACAAATAAAAGTACCTATTTTATTTTATTTTATTCTACACAGACTCCGTGTTGAGCTCGGCGGTGGGAGAGCAGGCTGGTGGGGCGCAGAGATGCTACTGATTCTCATCTTATCTACAAGTCCTTTCAGCCAACCCACAGCCTTTGGTAATGACTGATTTTAATCACATGGCACAACACAAACCAGCACAGAAGGGACAGAAGGCTGAGCGTGCAGCATGAACACTTTGCACACTATTTTCAATTTTCAATGTGCAACTACACGTCATTAAATAATTGTAACTGTACTTTGATTTTAAACACAACATGTGTGTTTAGAGTCAGATAATAACACGTTGCACGTGTGTGTGTGTGTGTGTGTGTGTGTGTGTGTGTGTTTAACTTCACTTACTGTCCGACCTCATGTAGAACCGGCGCTGGACACAGCAGATAGCCGTCTCTAACTACTTTGGGTTTCTGTTCTAAGAGAGCGAAAGAGAGAGAGTGTGTGGGTATAATTACCTATAAGGAAAGGAATGTTTTACAAATACCTGATGAAGACAATCACACAAAGTTGTAGATGGAAGCAAAAAACAAATGGATGCGGTTGCTATGTCGTGATAATTGATCATAGAGTTGAAAAATCATTTTACACATCTATAAAATAAAAAACAGCAATTGCAGCAAACAAATAAGAAAAGGATGAAAAACATTCCAGCAGAACAGATACCGAAGCTGGTCGGGAGTCAAAAGTGGACATCACGTCATGAGTTGTGTCCTCTCAGTGACATTAAGAGGACATCGATCTGTTTACAGACTAATGGGACAGAGAACATGTTCTCCCTCGCTCTGCGTCTCATAATGTCTCCTCTGTTCTCCGGCTGAAGTCAATAAAAAAGAAGCCACTGTTTATTTCCGCGCGCCGTGACTCTGACTTTCCACTGCGGCACAGACATCTGCGCATCGTATCTATCGCCGTTCCCTTCACAGAGGAGGTTTTCCCACAGTGCATCGCAGTGTGTACGCAGCTTTTAGCATCCTTGGCAAATAAGACCACAGGAGCCTCACCCCCAGAATTAACATCCGAAGCGTCCCAGCCGACCTGCAGTGTGAATGGCGGCGTGAGGGTGTGGAGTGCGTGGCGTTCACTGACCGTGTGTCTTCTGATCGACGGTGAGGGAGCAGAGCACGTTGTTGGTTCTCTTGGATCCGCTGAAGCCGCTGCCCCGCAGCACCACGCTGAAGGACTCTGGGATACATGGGACAGAGTTTATGAAACAGCAAAGTAAGGCCAACGAGACTGAGGCTGTGCGGCCGGGCTGACGTAAGTATGTTAAACGGAATAAAGGAACGTGAAGGATAACCACAGTTATTACAATTCAGCAGGAAGTGAACATATAACAGCAGGAATTCTGGGGCAAAATGGTTGTTTACTAGAATATCTCACGACTTATTGGTTGTTTATCTGATCGAGGTTTATTAGTTGTTTTTAATTGATAAATCCATGGAACTGTCTGAGGTGCTGAAGCGACAGACGGGTTCGTATATGCATTTATAAAAGAGTCTACACATGGAAAGACAATCCTATACTATATGTGTACATACATATTATAGGTTAGGGTCCCTTCCTTGATTAAAATGATAAGAAGTTCCTTGTTGTTGGGGAAGAGTTGATAGAGTCACATTGCTGTTTTTAGTAAGCCATCATTTACCTCCAGTTATTTAGTAGCGTTTGTAAAAGTCTAAAGGTAGAACCCACTTGACCGAATAACTCTGTAGCGATATATTGTAGTGTAGACAAGACCACTGTTACTGTAATTGTCTCCTTTGGGTGTGTTGGTTGATGGTTTGAAGGCAATGGGTTCCTCCCATTGGGAAAATCAACAAATCACAGAGGCTAAAATAGTCGAGCACTAAAGTCATTTGGCTTCATCCTCCGGGGACCATGATTACATTTTTTTCCTGCATCATTATATCAAATAAAAAAAATAATTAAAAAAACCACACCACTAACTTACCATTCACACAAACGCTCGACGGCTCAATTGTGAAGACGTCGGCGCACGTCTGCTTCAGGATCTGAAGACGGAGACGAAGGTGACAGCTCAGCGCGTGCGGCTGGATATGAGCGTTTTTTTGTGCGTCGTTATGTCTGACTTGACCTCACCGAGTTCACGATGTCTTTCAGGGCATGAAACCCGGACAGCACCGGGAAGACCTGCTCTGTGCCGTCTGCTATGTCAGCAAGCTGACAACGAAACCAGAAACAGTTTAGCGGGAGTCCTGAACAACTGAGTCGACAGCGGACGTTCATTTCGCTGCTTCTTTGGGAGGTCCTGTGTGCGTTTGGGTTCAGTGCTTCTGCAGCGTTTAGGGAGGAAAAGTCTGTTTCTGGGAGATGAAAGCTCTGGACAGCTGGCTGGAGCTTTCATCTCCGACCCCGGTGATAGCAGAACAGGAAGCTCGGCTGGCATTATTTAATTGGAGAGGGATGTAATGACTTCCTCCTCAGACCACAAAGTGCACTCTGGTCAGTAAGTGCAGAACAACGCTTGCACTTGCCGACTGAAGACCTTTTTTTAGTTTGAAGCCATATTTATATTCTTATTAATCCTTATTTTACAAATATTGTCACTAAAAAGTGGTCAAAGAATGAATCAGGTTGTGGATTGTGCAAAAACACGTTAAATGAATTATATTTTAGAATCATATTCCTCAATAAATGTCAATCGACAGTTTTTTCTTTGCACTGCAAATTACATTTGGGATAAAAGAATCTGTTGAAAAGATTCGGTATCAAAGCAGTGTTTCAGACACAGGAGATAACTGTTTCTCAACCATTTCTAAATCTCTACTCAACATTTCTCACAGTCAACACAGTCAGCACAAGATAATTCAATTTGTTCCTATTCAGCATGAAGAAATTTAGAGGAAACATTCTGCTGTCTTTCAGTAACCTGATACAAGATATGAAGGCAAATCAAATCTCTCCAAGGATATGATAACTTAAAACATGCCGCCATACAAAAATCATTCATTGTTTTGACATAAACCAAATTTGTAATAAACCCCTGAATACAATTCCCTGCCAGATGCGTGCTGTTCTGTCCTCAGGAGGTTCCAGTTGAGCTCAACCACATCGAGCCACAAGTTCAAGGTGCGTCAATAAACCAGACAACCAAAGAAACACTTGACTATTGAAGCCCCGACTGAAACCAAACACACACACACACACATACAAACACATGCAAAGGCAAATTCCACCCCAGTGTTTACATAACCACCAGTATCAGTAACAGAGAGAATTCCTGCTCACACTGTCAGAGGCTGAAAGAGCGTGAAGGTCCTCCTACCTGTCTGTGGTCAAAGTCCATGACCCCGACACAGTAGACTCGGGCCCCAAACCCTCTGACTTTGTCCGCCTGGGAAGCACAACACGGAAAGTCCTGATTCACCTTCTGCTTCTACTAGCATTCCCTCCAGCCATGTTTACAATGGGTTCTCAAGAAATGAATAATTGATCCCAGAGGGTTTCTATCGTGTTGCTATTTTGAAACAGCCTGACTTTCTGCTAAAGAACCATGCGGTGATAAACCATGTAGCCAGAAACTCACTTCATGCAACGTGATTAAACATCTTTGAGTGTCGTAATTCAGTAAAACAACAGAGAGGATTATATAAGTGTGTATGTGTGTGTGTGTGTGTGTGTGTGTGTCACTGTGTCTCCTCAAACAACCTGTGTTTTGATTGAAATACATTTTAAAAACCCCATAAAAACATAGCCATTAGAAATAGAATTATCTTCAGCGTTCAGTACCTCCTGTACGGTCAGTTCATAGGGGAACACCTGCAGCTTGCCGTCGGTCAGAGCGATGATGATGGTGGACGACGGCGAGGTCTGTGTCTTCATCTGCTCTGACACCTGAGGAGGGAAGGTTGACACAAACATATGCACTACTACTGAAACAACACAAAAGGAGCCGCTTAACAAGTCTCACACATCCACATATTTACTTTGTATCTATTAGGATTTTATATTGTACGGTGAGACCGAATGGACCAGTAGCAGTATTTTATAGTAGATTTGATTTCTTATAGTACATTAGTTTTATCGCATTTCCCCTTTAGCTCCTGGAGGAGAATCTACCTACCGCTTTCATGCCTTCGTGCATGAACGTTTCACCAGCAGGTTTGATTTGGCTCAGCTTCTCCAAACCCTTGTCTATCTTTGACCTGTGCATCCAGATCACATGACACGAAGACAGCGTTTAAATACAGGCCGATAAGACTTCAGTTTCTGTGTGATCTGCGTATCTGCGTTACGTCTCTTCTGCTCGTGGAGGAAGATGTGTTTTTGGGTTGGAGACGGAGAACGACAGAAGGAGAAGAAGGGAAATGTCAATAAAAAGAAAACTGGTACCTGTCTCCAGTTAGAGGCAGTATTACGACTGCTTTGGCTGAAAAGACTATGTAGGAAACCCTCATCCTGGGACTGAAACACACATAAACATGCAGCTTGTGAGTTTCATCTGCAGTACAAAGACACGTCAAATGCAAAACCACATTTTGTAACTTTTAAGATTGTGTCAAATAAAAATGAAATGAAATAATAATAATGATACATGAAATACGTGACAAAATGTGACATTACACTTTCATACCGCTTTTTGGCAAGGCACAACATCGCCGTTCATCTTTATATAAACTATATCACTTTATATAAACTATGTGTACTACTGCTATCAGTATCTGTAAACACGTGTAGCAATGAAGTCAAATATAAGCCAATAACATTATACAACATGTCAAACTTCAGCATGCACGATTATGCATGACATAACTTAAGAACATGGTAACAGAACACGGCATAACATGAAATGACTGTGCAAGACATAGAATACAACTTGACTCCATTCTATTCTATATAAAGCAGATAATACCATTTTGCAAAACATTCCCTGTGACTTTGTGGGGAATTGAACCCTAAACCTCTGTCTTTAGTTCACCCTTCAGGCTTTGTTGCGATGAAGGACTGTCTGAAGTGGTCGGCACCAACTTCCACATGCGGCATCCATATTCATCACCCTGTTATTAAAGCTAAAGATACCCCATGGACACCCCCCCCCCCCCCCCCCAAAAAAAAAAAAAAAATTTTGTATGATGTCTGCTGCTCCAAATAGACACATGGCCTACTTTCTTCTCACTACGATTGTTTGTACTATAATTGTAGGACCGTTAACCACTTCCTAATGTTTAAAATAGTCTTTTTTCATTTTCTGAATGTGACTGGGGGACATTCAATGTGCCTTCCCGCCCGCACTCTTTCCCCTCGGTTTTGAACTGTGATGAAGTTGTATTATTCCATTCTTCATGAGGCTATTTATAGTATAGAAAGCCCCCTCTGTGGAGGAGACGAAAGGCGAATAGGGACAGGAGAGAGAGACGAAAGGGACAGCAGCAGACACTTTACCCACCTGACAAACCTGCTGGTGAGCTGCTCAACAAATCCATAGATCTCGTCCCAGTGTCCAAAAACACTGCCGGACCTGCAGAAAGAGGCAGCAGCACGTTTCAAATATATCTCACACAAGATTTAGGACCAAACATGCTGAACCCGGAGGACGGCACAGGTGCGTAAAGACACATTTGTATATTGTTTGCATGAACTTTTGAGTTCTGATACTGCAGAATTCATTGTGGTGAAATGAACCTTTAACCTCTTGAGCCCCGCAGCCATTTTTGTGGTAAAGTTTATTATGGACTTTGTTTGTTCATGCTCAACAAACTGAGAGAAGTTCAGAAGAGAAAATACACTTTGTGCAACATTTGCAGTGTAGCAGCAGAGGAACAAAACCAAAACAAAGCCATACATGGAGAGGACAGAGTCACGGCTGTCTCCGCACTAAGCACACGATATTACATTCACGTATCGGTCTGTACGGTTGGCTCGTGGATTCCTTCAACAAAAACAAGATCTGTGTTTACTCACCGGTCCAAAACGAAATAAATATCAAACGCTCCATCACAAGAAGCGTCCTCGCCATCACTCAATGATGCTCTAACGCAGAAACTTAGGCAAAGTAGGATTTGGGAACATATGCGTATTAAATCCATAATCCGTGCGTTTCATATCAGAAGTGTGTTTGTTCAACAACAACAAAAATCCCCAAATGAGCAGCTGTGGGGTTGTTGTTTTTTTTACCCCGTGGTCAGCATGAGCCCGGCGGGTTCGGATGTTGGATCCCTGCTGGGTGGGTCCGTGGGTTCGTGCGCTCCTTGGCTGTGATAATGCAATGAACGGGGCGGGGCGGCTGCTGCACCACCGGGCCAGCAGCCAGCCGACAGGACAGGACTTCCCGCTGGGGTCTCCACATTAAACCTGCACTGCAGACGTCTACGCAGGAAAATAATACTACAAATGATGAGGGTATTCATCAGTATGTTTGAACACGTTTAGGATTGTTCTTTTTTTTATGGAGGGTGTTTTGCTCTATTTGATCCATTTGTGGTTTGTTGGTTTTATGGGATTAACAGTGATGATTATGATGCTGTAAATTAGCAAGAATTAGTTTGTTATCTGTCCCTGGACATATTCTATTCGAGTTTCCCTAAATAAAAATATCATAAAACAGACATTAGAAGCATGTAACAATATATTATTAATATTAGTGAAGGTATTTTACGGATTGAATGAAAAAAAAATGTAATTGAATCACAAATAAATACCAGACAAATAAAATATGAGTAAGCATTGATTTATTTATTCTAAACAACAATCAAATGTTATGTAATATAATGTTGCAAAATAGACATGAAAAACGTATCATGCTTTTATGTTGAAGGCACACTAAAACATAAAAACGCGAATGTTCCTGTTTTCTAAATGCCATTTCTGACTTGACTGAGATTAGAAAGAATTGCAGACTGAATGATTTCCCTACAGAATGTAAGACCCTTAAATATGCTGCTATTCAATGTGCTTTAAAACAAAAGTAAGGGAGTTTTCTATGAAAAATCAATCCTTGTAAGTATCTGAAAAGCGTTTGCCATGTTTCAAGATGTAAATCAAAATGTGCTTCTCAATCAATGAGGAATTTCGTGTATTTCTCACTGACTCACAAATCACTCCCAATGTTCTTTCTCTTCTCCAAACAAACCACTGCATCACGTTCCAACAAATTTAAGTCAGATGGGAAATGGAATTGAATAACACACCCTTGGTACGTCAGGGTGGTGCAAGTTGCTTTGCATGAGTATTGTCTAAAATGTCACTCCCCACAAGTAATTAGATCTCCTCTTTTGTCTCTCAAGAAAAAAACAAAAGACTTCATTTATGGATTTCACAAGAACGTCTCGGCATCACCACAACAAGTGTCCTCAAACGCACATTGTGTTTAAAGACATGAAAGAGGAAACAATGCTGAAAGCACATGATGTCAGAGATGAAGGGATCTTACGCACTGATTGCTGGCAGTTTGAATATTTATTTTCAACTCTAAAAGGAGTATGAAGTCCTAACATTTACAAACTCAAATAACAACATACCAAAGGAATACTGTCAGCAAAGTGACTCTGTTTAATCTTGCTCTAAAAAGAAAGATCTCCCTTTCGTATTTCATGCACGTCTGTTATGGATTATGTGTTCTGCGCCTTGTTTTTGGGTGTAGTAGTTGGGAGACAGAATGATGCAGTCTGAATTATTGTGTCGAGCCAGAAATGTGAACCACATCTTCTCCGGCCGGCAGCCTTAGAATAAGTCGATAATGAGTATAATAATGTCAGACAGTGTGTAATACAAATCTCACCCTTTTACTCAAAGTGGAAGCGAAACAATCGTGGCACATCAAGGACTAAAGTTGAAACAGGAAAAGTTAGCTTCAGGTGGACAAGTGTACGTCAGAAGAAGGGCTGGTCTCGTTAATTCCAGCCCAAAAGACGTGAATGAAATTTCCCGCAGGGTGTAACCTGTTGTTTCTAATGAAATGTAATTAACTGCCAAAAGCAAAGGGCGTGATTTTAATTTCTGCTCTGGTGCAGATCTACTTGAAAGTGCTCACTGTGCACGCTTAAGGCTTCAGACAAGAGAACTAAAGAATAAGCTTTTGAGAAATTACTTTAACATAAGATATCTCTGCAACAAAGCCTGGAAGATAATTTTGGCCCCCGGTGCAGTACCTCACGCGTACCAGCAGGTGGCGGTGACGCGCCGCCGCCTCTTTCCACGGCCGAAAAAAAGAAGAAGATCCGGTTCGGTGTTTATCGAGCAGCGGAGGACGTGCGTTCAGTTTGATTCCTCTCACCATACTGTATTTTTATTTCATGCTCGCGCAATGCTCGCGTAACAGCCCTGCCGGTTATGGCTGAATTAGCAGAACAAGGACACCGACGGCCCCCCCGCGACTAATGGTGAGCTTTGTGACCCGGTTTTCACTCGTTTTTTATCGGGGCTGCGTTACAGGACGAGCCCGTCAAGGTTAGCGTCGCCGTTTCCTCTCCCCCCTCCTCCCCCCCCGGAACCGAACTCGAGCTAACATGGCGTGACGACAATGAAACGGTGAGGCAAATCATTCGTGGATGCCGGCACGTCTGTTTGAAAAAGGAGTTGTGTTTCCAAGTGAAATAGATAATGGCACCTGTGTCGAGTCAAGGATGGAGTCGTTGCGCACGGACACACACACACACACACACACACACACACACACACACACACACACACACACACACACACACACACGTTAGCTTCAGCTAGCTTACATGTAAACAAACGTTTTCTCCTCATATTGTCACATGTCATAATATGTTTCACAATTGTCGTTTTTTACCGGTGGTGTCTCCCGTCCACACCAGCCGTGTCCTCGGCGGCCAGCCGGTGGCTGAGAAGAAGAAGAAGCAGCAGCAGGAGGAGAAGAAGGAGGAGGAGAAGATGCTGCTGAAGACGCCCCAGAAGCTGCTGAAGACCGGCCACTACATCGAGCTGGGCAGCTACCAGCACTGGCCGGTGCTGATACCCCAGAGGATCAGACTGTACACCTACGAGCAGATCCCCCTCTTCCTCAAAGAAAACCCCTTCATCACCGGCGGCTACCGGGCCCACCTGCCCTCCAAGCTCTGCCTGAGGAGGTGGGTGGATGACCGGCGGCAGTGACGTAGGGTTTACACGTCATCACGCGAAGGTGCAGCCGCCTTGTTGATGTGCGTTTCTTCTTCTTCTTCTTCTTTTGCAGTATTTTTATGCTGACCAATGAGACGGTGAACATTTGGAGCCACCTCCTCGGTTTCCTGCTCTTCTTCTCCCTGGGGGTCAACGACGTGTCCTCGGTGCTGCCGGCCTCCGGCGCCAATAGAGAGGACTACGTCATCTACGTCATCGGACTCTTCTGCTTCCAGGTGAAGGCCGTCGATATCGCAGGAAGTCTCGCACGCTCGTCCAGGTCTTGTTGTCGTCCCCAGTGTCCATGCTCACAAACAAAGAATTATCTACAGAGATTATCTACGTGTCTTATCATTTTACCACTTTGTAATTACTTTCTTCTTTTGAATCCTTTACAGCTGTTTACTGTAAAGTCTCAGTTAATACAAATGTGCTTTACCTGACCGTTTCTCCCGTGTATAAATAAATAATGTCTCTTAAAAACGGATTCATGAAGGTTCACGTTTGCTGCCCCGGGCACAATCAGTTGTCCTCAACCCACGCAGGTGTGTAAGCTGTTGTAAAGGTCGGGCCCAGTGTGTTGTACAATAAAGCGCTGCAATAGCGACGGTGGAGTAGTTCAGAGGTGCATTTTCCTGTGGAGGGACGTTAGATGTGTTTGTGCGGTTCATGCAGTAGGTCGGGTAAAAAATGTAAATGTAATAATATAATATAATCCTAAAAGGAAAAAGGGACACTCTGCTTTCCTTTTAGGAAAAAGGGACAAGGGGAAGGGGAATAACAGATTATAATATAAACAATCATGTTTCCTTACAATCAGAAAAGTGAAAGAGGTAATAACGAAAACCAATAATGACGATCATAAAAACAAAACCCTTCTAATAATAAAGATAAGACTTGCGTTGGCCTTTCTGGTCTGTAAACGCTGGCTTGTGTTTGCATCGCAGGTGTGCATGCTGTGTTCCGTGGGGTACCACCTGTTCTCGTGCCACCGATCTGAGACCACCTGCCGCCGCTGGCTCTCTTTGGACTACGCCGGCATCTCCGTCGGCATCCTGGGCTGCTACGTCCCCGGGATCTTCTACGCCTTCTACTGCAACGCTGTGAGTGGGATTGCCCCACCTGTTTGCTTCCCCCCCCCCCCCCCTCCGTGGATCTCAGTGGACTGTGTCTCAATCCGTCGCGCTCCTGTGTTTGCAGTTCTGGCGACAGGTCTACCTGCTGACCGTGCTGTCGCTCATCCTGGCCGTCTTCTGCACTCAGGTGCACCCTCATTACCTCAGCAACGAGTGGCGAGGGATTCGCACGACGATCTTCTGCTGCGTGGCGGGCATCAGCGTCATTCCCGCGTGTCACTGGGTCTGGCTCAACGGAGGACTCGCCACGGACGTCGTGCAGGTCCGTGCTCCTACAGCGGTGGAAACAGCGTGACAACACTTCCATCTCGGCACTAAACCTTTTTGTTTTGTGTGTGTTTAGCTGTTCCTGCCGCGCGTGCTAGTGATGTACCTGATTGCCGGAGCTGCGTTCTTGTTCTACGTCACCAAGGTCCCCGAACGCTACTTCCCCGGTGAGTCGTCGTCGTCGTCCTCCTCCGTCTCTTTGTGTGCACAAAACGGGAGCTTTTGGGCTGAAAGTGAACGGGGAAGGAATCTGTAATTAAGGTCACTGTTTGTCTGAATAAACAGACGAGGTCGGTGAGTGTAAATTGTGTCTTGTTGTCAGTAAAGAGTTACAGAAGCTGAAACATGTAATACGTTTTATAATATTGGACTTAATATTGAATTCCAATGAAACCGATCCATGTTGCAGTTTGCTTTTATTTTTATATATTCTACAGTTTAGAGCAAACAAGGTATCTTTATTATTGTACGGGGGGGGGGTTGTACCTTATGGGGTTTGTTTTGTACTCATCCAAATGTGTTTCTTTCGTAGTTAGTAGCACAGATAGACTTTAAATTATATTGTTTCAGTAGCATTTGTTAGATCCTTTACAGCTAAACGGAAAACTCAAATAGCTGTGACATATTTCCTTAATTACCACTACAAGATTTTGTGAAGCGGTCTCGGAGGTGTGGCGGATAAACACGTCAAAATAACAAAATAGTCGCTGAGGCCGGGGCGAGGACTGGGCAGTTGTTAACGTGAAAGAAAACTGCTTGGTGACGCTTTGGAAATACGTCGAGAGGGACGAGCGCACGTAATTGGGAGAGAATCTGGTCAATTTTCAAAATAAAACATTTTTCAGAGCTGTTAATGACATGTTTAGGTACTATTTCTAGACACCCAAGTGCCAAATATGCTCTTTTTTTTTGTACATTTTGAAGAAAGTAGGGTAATTGGGCGGAAAAAAGAGCCAAATATGTAATATAGTACTTGTCTTTCCTCCTTCAGGCCAGCTGAACTACCTGGGAGCCAGCCACCAGGTGTGGCACATACTGGTAGTGGTGATGTTTTACTGGTGGCATCAGACAGCCGTGCACATCATGCACTTCAGGCACAGCCGGTCCTGCCCGAGCAGCAGCAGCTAAGTTGGACAGATCCCACGATGTAATGGAACGGCAATCGGTTGCAGGCTACTAAGCTATGAATGTTAGTGGACATCAGTTAAACACCTAATGTTGCTTTTCAAACACTTCTCACCAGTCAGTCTGCTGGTTAGAAGCTGCCGCCTAAAGGGATTTTAACCACAAGCTTGTGCTTATTACCCACTAAGGTGTAAAACTGACAGTCTCATGGAAGCTCCTGGTTTTCATTGAGCTGCTGGTTACTGTTTTAGTGGCTTTTTAAGGCCAGTACACGCATTAATTCTACTGTGTCCAGCACTTGATATCTGCAAGGAGAAGCTACACAGTACTGTACATCTTAAAATTGCTTATCCACCATAACCATTAAGTTGCATGAAGCTGGAATTTTATATTATTTTGTAGAAACGGACTACGGTTTGGAGTTTTTAATTGGTGATCTTTTTTTTATCGCATGGTTTGTTGAGTTTGGGATCTTCTTTGTGTACAGAAGTTTTAAAGAATATCTACATGGATTCTGTTGAATCAAACATAAATGCCTGTGTGAACAATTCCTTAATTTTTGCTTTCTATGTGATTAGATTGGATGAAACGTCTTGATGAAATGTGAAAAGCAGAGAACAAAAACTGGAAATTCAGCACTGTGAACTCTGGGAAAAATAATGTCTCAATGTATTTGAAGCGCTCGAACAAATATCTAAAGGTCAATCAATGATCAATCCGCAATATCTGAGAAGAAAGTGTAGGAACCATATTCAGCCTACATTACATTACTTCCTAAATACAGCCTGATTTTTATTTGTCTTTGGAACAGAGAAAGTGTCAGTGTTGCGGTGGCCAAATCCAGCATGTTATGGCTTCACTACACGATATGTAATATCAGCCTTAATACCAGAACAACCGAGTTAATCAACAACATATTGTACAATCATCCCCTTTTTAATTTAAATATTAGTCTGTTAGATTTAACTTATTAATCAAAAAGAAAGCTTGACCAGCTAAATTGACCGAGCTTCATTCTCCTGACATCATGGTGAATGGTTCTGGGATCAGATGTGGAGTCACCAACTACTGTTTTTGTTAGAAAGTGGTCTAAACTGGAGTCTGCATGGCTGGAATGACAAAAATGCTGATTGTAGTATTGTGATAAAAAAAGAACCCTTTAACAACAGTTTGAACTGGACAATCACGACAACGAGGACACATTTCGGCTGACGATCCAGTTGGCGGTAGCACTTTAACGCTCTCCGATTGGTCAACGCCTGTCACTGATCAGGCAGGAAGCCCTTTTGAGTCATAAAGGTTAATTGTGTACAATTTTGCATGTATTGTCTACTTGAGGCTGTTGTTTAAGCGAGGCCAGTGTTACAGGTTTTTATTTTTAAAATCACTCCAATCATGTTTGCATACGTTTGCCTTATCATCTGTGAGTATTTGTACTGTATACACACTTACTGTTAGAGTCGGTTTCGGTGTCAAAATAATTATCAAACTCAGACCGATTTAATCTTAGCTGTTACACAACAACGCCAGTATGGTTTTTATCTAATATGATTCAACGCTTAGAACAAGTTATGGATTTTAGTTGAGGTCACTTACTGCTGCGGAACTGTGTGTGGCACAATGAAAGAAGTGACTTTATTTCTGCCTTTTTGGGTTTGTGTTTTTATTTTTCATCATGCATATCTAACAATCATGTACTGCTTGGTCTGTTCTTGAAAATTCATATCATGATTGTTTTATCCTGTGTTTGTGTTTCCTTAATTATCATTTATATGATAAAGCACTGGCGCTGATTTACAAGATATTTATTTCAGTGCCTATGTGAAATTATATTTATAATATATTTTTAAACATTTTGAATGAATAAAGAATGCTGGAAAATACGTTTTACGGTTGTCTTTTTTTCAATAGCTCAGGAGCGCTTTAATTGAATTTATTTGAATGTCTTTACCTAATCCATTTGAATTCCTTTATCACTGCCTGAAGGGCACATCATGTGTCAGAGGAGGTGACTTTTACCTCTGAGGGCTTTCAGCCGTTGTCATGGGATTCACTTGAGTTAGCAAATTGATAATGACATGCTTGTTAAACACAGGCATCTTCTGATGACTCAGCCGGTCATTGTGAAGTCACATGCTCTATGTATCGTCTCACAAGCAGGAAATATACGCTATCTCAGTTGTTTTTCCCATTTATTCAAAACAAACAATCATTTTGTAAATCTTCCTCTTGTCTGGTGGCAACGCTGACATCCTAAATGATTGTAATTTATTTCCACAGTGACTTTGTTAGTATGATTATTGTGCTAGAAAATGATATAACACAAAATCACCTCATGCAGTAATGAGTATTTGCGCAAATGGTGTCTGAGACAGTAATGATAGAAAGTCGCTGTGAAAATACTGTTGTCTTATTCATTCATATTCATCATTTCATTTTCCCTTGTTGTACTTTCCCTGTAGTGAAGGAGTTGAAGCACCATTTTCTTCTTTTCACTGATGTTTCTTTGCTGTGTAAAGGTCTTAATGCCAAAGACTCAGGCTAAAAACATATCAGTTTAATGCAAGTATTGAACATTAAGGCAGTATTTGTTCTATATACTTTTGGAGTGTTGAACACTCAGTGATGAAAGTCGAGCGGACTACACGTTTTAATCTAAAAAGTGAAAAAATCTAAAATCAATACGTGAAAACTGATGACAAAATAAACGTAGGAAAATATAAAATGTTAGTTTACAAAATGTTCAACCACTAATGTCTATATCTTAATACAATGGCAGTTCATCAATAATCTAAATAAAAATACATTGTTTTTGAAGTATTACATGAATTGTGGTAGTTTCGACAACAGTGATTTAATCACAGAGACAAAATCTGTGATTTTGAAAGTCATCTAAAAACAAACATTTGATTCAACAGACATGAAAGAAAGTAGCAAAGCATTAAAATAAAAATGCTGACCTCACCTGCTGCTATCAGTTAAGATATAAAAGTTAGAAGCACCAAATAAAGAGTTGTGTGTAATTCCTATAATCTTTACGAGAAAAGAGCTAAAGCCGGCCTCGTTGCTGGCTCACCAAAGATCAGTAAACGTTGGTGTCACTCAGCCAAGGCTGTTTCTGTGCGACATTGAGATAGAAAAGGCACTCCTCGGGAGTCACAGAAAGCTTCTGTGACCGCCGCGGACTGGTGCTTCTTCTTTCAGTCAGGTGGACTCGAACTGGGTTTTGAGCTCCGATGTCAGAAATCAGGAAGTAACGCAACTGGCGGCTGAATCTTCATGTGCGGGTTGTAACCACTTTACACTCGGGTTGTAACCATGGACTTTGGCCAAAGGACTCAAGTGATGTGAAAAGTCAAAACAGCTTTCATTGCCGGTAGCGTTGCCTTTGACAGAGTGACACTCATGTGTTATTTGCCTCAGATATCAGAACCTAACAAGAACGAACCAGGGAGCTTGACTACGTCAGGAAAAATTACATCCAAAAAATCTATACCCTTCCTGTTTGTTTTTTTAGAACAAAGCTCCCTGAATAGTGACCTCAAAGCTAACTTGTAGTATTGTACAGCATGCCTTATATAACAGCATACCTTCTCTACCTCCAGATGCTCTAAACCAAACAGTCTTCCGACTTGCCTTCTGCGGATGCGCTGCTTGCATGAAGCACCGCCATGTGAACCGTATGAAACAGCAGGCTGCTCATGTCTCTGTCATCTTTCCCGAAGAATTGTCCTTTCTGCAGGGCGTCAATGACTGAGGTGTTGCAGTGTGCAAGGAGCACGCTGACGCCTATCTCCTTAAATTCACTGACCAGCCCCTTAAATGTGCCCGTGCCTGTTGAGTCTATGAAGGGTATCGCAGAGCAGTCCAGGACTATCGTGTGGAAGGCCAGTTCTCTCTGTACGAGTCCGAGTCCTATAACAACCATCTTAGAGGACATCTTTTTTGCCTTCTTCTCTGCCTTTCTCCTCTTAGTCAGCTCCAAGAAAGGCTCAACTCCAACGGCTTTGTAGAGGGATTTGAGGAACGAGTCCTTGTTTGCGTAGTACAGCGGCGCCTGGAAGCGGAACACCTGAACCCGAGGCGGCGGCATAAGGTTCTCGTACTCGTCCAAGTCCTCGTAAAGATCACTGCCGCTGGCCCGGCCCAGCAGAGAGACCTGGCATCGAACGATCAGATTACATTAGATTAGATTAGATTTTGAGATAACCAAAGGTCAATGTTTGGTCAATGTTTGATAACCGAAGGTCAATGACTTTTCACATGTTGGAACCATTGTCTTTTTGTTCCAGCTTTTAAGTCTATTACTCACCTTAGGGTTCTGAGTCTCAAAGATGATGCAGAACATGGAAAAAAATATTCCGACCACAAGACCCAGCTCCACACTGATCAGAGCCGTGGCCGACATGGTGACCAGCCACACCGTGGCGTCGGTGCGGCTGGCACGCCACTTGGCCGGTACGTCCCTGAACTTCCTCAGCGCCCCACGGAGGCTTACAATGATGATGCAGGCGAGAACGCACTTCTGGAGGGCGTAGAAGCAAGGCGCAAAGAAGAGAAGGACGAGTAGGACAACCAGGGCGCTGACCAGACTGGAAATCTGATTACATGGAGAGTACAGATGGAGAGGAAGAAGGAGATTCCACAGTAAGCGTCTTTCACAGAGTTAACATTGACGGATGCAATGCGGTAATGTGAATTGCTGAGGCTCTACACGTCTCGCAGAGACCATGCACCCAGGCAAGGAAAGCACACACTTTAGGGAAGAATGGAAAATAAAATGTAAAAGTATGAAATGCACCTGTGTCTGGCAACCTGTTGAGTCCTTAACCATGGTTTTTGCCAATGCTGCACTGGTGGTGAAACAGTGGAAGAAGGAAGGTATGATATTACAAAAGCCGATGGCCAGCATCTCCTGGTTGGGACGAACCGTATAGCCATTTTTCTTTGCAAACATCTCGGACAGCGACACCGTGAAGGCAAAACTGCAAGACAAAATGAGCCTGTAAATTAAACGCTTTGACCTTATTTAAACGTACATTAACGACCTCCAACAGAAGTGAAAAGAAAATAGTATTTTCATTTTCATACCCACACAATTACTACTCAGGTAGCTTATTTTTTGCATCCTTAAGACGTATTCATTTAAACAATGGTTATCGGCGAGCGGTGACCATCATTCGAATCAGCCAGTACACTGTATATTTGTCAGAAATGACCATCGTTGTACATATTTTGGATTGATGCAATCAGCTAACGGAGGCATGTTTCCCTGGCAGACGACACTCCAGCTTCTAAATTGCATCTGTAACGTTCCATATACGAGACACACATCGGCAAACGTGTTAACTATTACCTAATGACGGCCAAAGGAATGGCATCCAGTATCAACCGGGACATCAGACTGAAGCTGGGCACCTGTGGGGGACTGAAGCCCGTGGGGATGTGGCCGGATACACTGGAGCCATAATTGCTGTTCAGCTCCCCAAAATGGCTGGCCAGCGTAGCTCCTGCCACAACTATCAGCTCAGTCGGCAGAGGGATCTTAAGACGATCCTTGTAGCGCTCCTGGATCTCTTTCCCCGCCACTGTATTAACCAAAACCTCAGTGTTATTCCATATCAAAGACAGCTAGGATGAATTTGCTTATTAGGCCGTAGTATGACCACTATCGGGTTGCCTTGTTCCATGCCCTCCGGAGCACAGGAGGCGGTTAATGTATTTACCTAAAACAAAGATAGAGATGGCGCTTGTGATGAGGTCACACATGTTGGTCTGGTGAATGTTGGCGAAGATGTTGAACCAGGTGACGACAACTGTGCCGTAGCCCTGGTGACGGGGGATCTTTAGACCCAGCAGGTATTTAGCCTGCACGGTGAGGATGGTGAATGAGGCTCCCGTGGCAAAACCGTCAAGCATCGGAGCCGAAAGGTATACAGAGACGAAGCCGAGCCGGAACGCGGCCATCAAAACCTGGTGGGGAGGTGAGGAGGTGGAGCGGGAGGAGAAGCAGGTGGACGATAACAAAAACGGGAGTCAGCTCTCAAATGAAATAGCTCAAGATTTACTTGAGGGATTGGCAAGATGTTTTGTAAACATTCACAGCTGTCAGATGTATTTGAAAGACTTTGGTGCCCTTTCTTTTTTGCCAAAAGATTTTGTTCATCGCGGTACAAAAAACACACTTGCGTGTGTTACCTGGTAAACGCCAACCAGAAACGTGAGAGAAGCAGCGATGCTGATGGAGTAGCACTCTTTCCCGCACTGCAGACCCATCAGCTCCACGGTGTGAAGTTTTCCGGCAGTGAGGTTGTTTCCCAGCGTGGCATTAACCACATCAGGGCCAGACGCTGGGGAGTCCTCGTTGAGGTCAAAACCTGCCAGGAACATCTCCTTGTACACCACCTGCAAACAAGTAGAAGTATTAATTAATCAATTAAATGAAACTTCATCCTTTTTATTTACATTTCAATCAACATTTCACGAAAGACCCTAAAGGTAATGATCATTTCTCGCCACCCAAGATCCTCTGCAGTACCTGTCCAACCATCAGGCTCATGAGGCTGAAGATCCCCACCGAGACATGCCTGGACGTCCCCATGAGGAAGTAGATGATGTTTGCGTAAAAGGAAGTGTAAAGACCGTGGATTGGCTTCACCCCTGCAAGCAGGCAGTAGGCGATGGCCTGCGGTACCAAGATGATACCAACGATCACCCCGGACATCAGATCGCCCCAGATGTACTCCCGGAGCTTGTATTTAGGCAGCCAGCGCACGACAGGGAAGAACCCGGTCAGGGCGGACCGGACTCTGGGGACGGAGCAGGTGACGCTCTTCTTCAGCTTGGACTTGAGGACTGAAACCGCGGGCTGTCGCCGGCGAGCCCGGCGCTCCAATGCAGGCGGCGTGACCAAGTTGACCTCCTCCATGGTCTTCGGGAGTAACGGCGGGCGGCGAGGTGAGAGGAACGGGTAACGGAAGTGGGTAATGTGGTCAGCTCTGCTCCTGTAAGAGTAGATGTACGGAAGATAAAGAACAGAAGGGTATGAATGGAGACGATCTTCCTGTTAGGTCTCTGGTATATTGGAATTTTGGGGCATTTACACATTCAGTAAACTTCTCAATTCTCTGTCAGGATTAAGAATTCCAGTTTTTTCTGTCCAAAACGAGTCAGTGTACAAATCAAATATTAAACCCATGACCATTGTCCTGTTAAACTTACATATTGTAGTTGTGCAGAAGGTATGTCTCGTGGTAATGGTGATGACCTACTTTTCCCAGAACACAGTTAGCCAGTGGCTAAGATGCACGGTCGTGACTAAGTGGTGTTGTAGGCATATTGTCATGAAAATACGTTGTCCGTGATTTTGTCCACTTTGGTTCAAATCTATTCAATTCCTTCCCAAGATCTGCTTCTACGTGTTGACACTTTAACTGGCTCGGATTCAAAGCTAAAGGGTAAAGCTCCTGAAACTACAACGAAAGACAGGAACTAATTGGTGCAACCATGTCAAGAACGTAATGTCATTGTATAAAATGACCTTTTGTAACCTTTTGGACAATCAGAAATGAACCGAGGGATTTTTGAGACCTCATTAAATGTTTTCTCAAGTGTTAAAAAATGGGTTCAAGTTTGCACCAAATCTGTATAAGAAATGGTATAAAGAACTAACGAGATATAAGAGTGTGTTAATTCTCCCCATATACTTCCATTCTAATGTTCTAATGTCAAAATACATTCTATTCAACTCATTTATTAATATTTATATCTGATAAAAAGCCCTCACCCTTTACGTTACAGAAAACGGGGAGGACTGATAAGAGGATTAAATTCTACCATGAAACTAATTCAATTGTTAGAAACCACAAGTGACAAAACCTATGCAACATACACATCATTACATACATGATAATCAGAAATGAATCTAGAGGTCGATGCCTCGTGGACGGCTCGTCTCGCCATGTTCGCCGTTCAGCAGCTGCGTCCCAGAGGAGATTACCATGTCATATAAACCATTAAACACTCAAAATGATGTGTAATCAGCCTCCGGCATCACAACACGGGTATGTGCTGTGATTTACACGTCCTGCGGCATCGTTGGGCATCAACAGCCAGACAGATATGGCAACGCAAAGATGAATAGTGTAATGATTTATTTTATGTGAAGCGACATCAAGCGGCATCATTTTAATTTTCTTTCTGTTGGGCTCGCTGTTGCTTGGCAGTTTTACTTTGCTTTTAAAAATAATTGCTTGATTTTGCATGAAAAAAAAGTCCATGCAGATATCTGTGTTTGTGTCTTTTAAAGTCAACCTGACCCCTTTTTTGTCAGATAAAAGACACAGGAGATAAATAATGAGCCTGTGGCAATCTCCCCAAAAAGAGATATAGTTATGTTTAACACAGTTGCCAACAAAATGTCCAGGGTTCCTTTCAAGAAACACGCCCTGTTGACTGTTGAGCAAGGCAGGAGTCACACTGAGGTCTTTTTGGAACCAAATGATGAGATTTACTTCGGTGTCAACCCTGAACAGTGGGGCAAAGACTTTTGATCAAAGCTGTTTCTGTAAAGCGTTTCAAATCATTGTACTCCGCCTTTAATCACGTTATAAAGGAATCACCACTTCATGCTTACAGCATTAACACGGACAGCGCAGCTCCCTCAGAGACGAGCAATTCAAACCTCGTCATGTAAGGTCTTCACTACATACGGTTGCTGAGTCTTCAGTCAGTGTTTAACTAGTGAAGCCAGGACTATTGTCCCCAGTCGAACATTAAAAACACAACAAGCGTGAAAGCGGGTAGTTTTAAAACTTGACAAACCAGATAAAAATCTCATTAATTTGAACAAGAATCACCCTTTTGACTTCCAAAAACCACGTTATGAAATGATGCAAATTATTCTCCAAACCTCAATTCTTGACTTAACTTGGAAAGGAAACAGCCCTGAAGAGGTTTTCAAAGGATTTCGAAGTTTAAAAAAAAAATCATCAAAGAAACTGTGATTACCACTAAAATGACATTCCCAAGAGCTAGACCCATTATGAAAATGACTTTAAAAACTGAAAACGTCGACTTTGGTTTCCAAACTCCAGTATAGAACATCTTTTCTCAGAGAGAAAACTGTCAAGTCAAATCAAAAAGACTCCTCCTGGTTGAAACATTAAAATGGAACTTCTCAAGCATTACCATAGTAGTTTCTCCGAATATTTTTGCCCAAAAAATCAAAATACACCATAGAATCATTTGGACCTATGAAATAATGATTGTGCCACACCTTCAACAGCATCCTGTACTCTCCAACTCCAGTCACGTCTCTACTCTTAAAATGCTTCACAGAAACAATAAAAAACAGCTTCAAAATGCCTTATTGGTTTTATCTTGGACACAAAGTTACAGTCAGTAACATGTGACAACACACTCACCTGCAGAGTCACTGGCACAAGGACAAACAGCACCACGAGTCTCTGATGTGTCGTATTCAAATCCGCTCTATGTTGAAGGCACTTAACTTCTTCTCATTCCATCTCTCTCTCTCTCCCACTTTTCATATGTCTCTCCCCCTCTGTGTCTCTCTCATCATCCGAGCGGCTGGACACAGTAGGTGTGAGTGAGATCTCAGCTGGACAAACAGGGAGATAAAAGCGGCCCTTTGCTCACCCTCGATCAGTCTCCTTATTGGCTCAGTTTCCAAGAGTGGGTGGCGCTAGTCAAAATGTCCACCAATGAAAAAGCATCTGCGTGTGCGTGTGTGCACGTGTGTGTGCACGTACGTGTCTGTCTGTGGAGGAAGCTACTCTGGGCGAGAGGTTAAATCCAGTCAATGTTTTACTGAATAGTGTAATATATTGTGCATGTTTCTGCCCTGCAGAGGACCAGTACCGCCAATCACTTGGATTGCAGATGCGTATATCAGCATTTCCTACTATTTAAATATAGACACAGCAAACAGCAGATAAGGTGCCCTGTTATCTGTTTGAAGGGCAATAGAAACAACATAGAAGTCTTCCAGCAAATACAATACAAGATTGGATCAGTGTTCAGCGTGGAAAAGGGGAACCGACAGAGATTTTGACCGGCTAGCTCACTGTATTGCTCATGATCTACCTGCACTTTGTGAATTGTTTCTTTTCATGAGCTCATAATCAGAAGTGTGAGCCATGCAATTAAGAAAATCTGAACTGAAAACATTCTTTTTTGTTTTTCAGGGGTTTGATCAAGCAAGCCGTGCGTCATTTTGAAAGGGGTTTGGTAGTGTCATAAAATGCTTTACAGTCGGTTAGTTAGTCAGAACTAAACATGGAGGAGCAGCGTTCAGTCTTTATGCTCCACATATCTGGAACAAAGTCCCAGAAAGCTGCAGGTCTGCTGAGTCCCTGAGCTCCTTTAAATACAGATTAACGACTTTTCTGTTTGCTGCTGCCTACAATTGACCAAGTCTGAAATCTTAAAGACATTCTTAACATTCTGTAACATTACATACAATTTTATTTCAAAATTCTTAACGTTTTTTTTTTATCCTTTTAATGACTGTTTTTCTTTTATGTTTTAATGTATCAATGTTCCTAACTGTTTATAAATCTCCTTGCTTTATGTGTGGATGTTTTAATGGTTTTATGTGAAGCACTTTGAATTGCCTTGTTGTTGAAATGTGCTACACAAATAAAATTGCCTTGAAATCAAAAATGGTGGATAGTGTTCTTTTGAATAATAGGGAAATTATCAAATAAATTGTGATGTAGTATTGAAGGTACCCAGAAGTGGGTTTATAGCCGTAGCTTCACCCTCAGAAGAGGCAACATTATTATAGTATTTTTACATACTAGTGTATTGTTTCTAGAATGTATATTACCTTTAATTGAACCAGTTTTGTACTAATATACATTGAAATACCAGTTTACCATTTAAGAATCTGCCTAGTTTGGCAAAGTTCAGCAACAACATATATAACACAGACCTTGTTTAATGAACATTTAATTTGATAAGCAAAAAATATTTGTCGATAATCTTCATCATACCTAGAAACGATGTGTGCTTCCTGAAATCAAATGACGATCAAATGAAAACAATGCGCACGGTTGCCTCCGAAGTCACTTTAGCTATTTGTATCTGGACATATCTTATTTTTGTGAGGCACTGAAGCGGTCAGTTGAAGTTATACTGAGGTCAAAAGTCTGCAGCTTTCAAATTATTAACAACAAAAGGGTAGAGTCACATTTTCCCTGCGTCGAGAAAGAGAAACATTTATGCAAAATAAAGAAAACACTGTCTCCTTTGTTAAACAACTTCACTGATACAAAACGCTGCAAAACATTCAAATCCTGCACGATTTGGCCTCTGTCCGTCTGTGTGGAGTCTGACTGTGCAAGGTCAGAGTTTACTTTTAACTTTTAATCTTCAAAATAATATCTTCAGCTGAACTGATCAAACCAGAAGTTGAGCTTAACCTTAACTGGTGGCTCAGCAATGATTACTCAAACACTGGCAACGGGTGGGGCATCAATTATTATCCCTGAGATAAAAACAGGCAATACAAAGTTATCACTAATCAAGAACCAGAGATTAAGAGAGAGCTTCTGGTTTTCCTATAATCATATAATCAAAATCTGAGACAATGGTGGTCTGTGTGTGTGTGTGTGTGTGTAGGTGGGTGGGTGGGTGGGACACTGAGTGCATTAACTGCTGGACTAATTGGCATCATTGTGGGAACGATTGCAGTTTACTCCCTAATACAGCTTTATATTAGAGCCACAGAAATATCAAGGAGAAAAGGCCTTCTCTGTATGACACGTGCTTGTCTGTGTGTGTGTCGTTACCATGACAATACAAAGACGTGAACATGCCTTCTGCCCAACAAAACAACAAATTCGGAAAACACATGAGGAGCCCCCCCCCCCCCAGCAGGATTACTGCCCTGCCCCTTTAAATCCACCGGCATCTGTCTCCTCCACCGTCTACCAGACGCATCATCTGCCCAGCATGGATTCCTGGACACGGTTTGTCTGTTGTCCTTATAATTGACACGGTCGAACGAGGAAGGACTCACCCAGAGAGGCCCAGAGGAGCGAACGGGAAGCGACGTCAGCCATAGCTCCCCGATTGGTGCCTCTGCATGCAGCATCAGACTGTGTTTGTCTGTGCAGCCGTCCACTCGGATGCTCATGTTCTTCTTCCTGCTTCATTCCGCAAAGCATGATGGGAGCAGCACCCACCCCATGTCTTGTTCCTGTCTGCGGATTGGAGCCGAGGAGAGGGGGTGTGGAGAGAGGGGAATAAAGGGAGGAGGGACTGAGGAGGGATTATGGTTACCATGGTGACTAAACTGCAGCTGATGCTCATGTGGGCATGTGTGTTCTCCTGTTTCTTAAATGAAGACAATTACCACTGCACATGCCTATGATTATGCTTTATGTCAATGCTTTATGGCTCCATTATTATCTAAGAGTATTAGTAACACATCACAAAGGAGACTCGCATGATATTTCATGATTGATTAGCTGTTTTAATTCAATCACACAAACACTGTCCTGCTACTAGAAATAGTAACTGAAACACCCATTTTATAACTGGTGTAAAAATCCACTTGTCCTTACTAGGAGCAGAGTGTCCTTCTGTTTTATTAACCTTCGGCAAAAGCTTCAGTGCTGTTTTCTTCTCCTCCAAGGATTCAGCCAACGTTAGATGAAATACTTTGAATCGCAGACATTTGTTCAAAGATATACTGTATTAGGTTAGGAGGAACAGATGGGTTTAGTGATGACAGTTACACACCTCTCCATCTCAGATGGAGTTCAGAATTGGTTGATTCGGATTACAATATCGTTCTTCATCAACTTTCAATTTCTTTTTGTCATTATATACACAGAGGATACAAATGATCCTCCAAGATGCTACTTGTATACCCGAGTTATCCTCAAAACTACCGTGCGAAACAAAGTCTGCAATACTACTTGTATATTTGTACTTACACCTGGAAAATGTTTATGTTCAAGTCTTTTTTTTGTACAGCTCAAAATCCCTTCAGCGTGAAGAAAAAAGGACAAAATCCTATATGGGGAGAACCTGTAGAACCTATAATAGGAGGATCCCTCCCCGGGATGGACGGGCTGTCATGTGTACAGTTTAAAAGACACAGTATGTCCAAGAAAGAAGAGCGTAGAGGAGGAGCAGGTCCTCTCCTACTGTGAGTATTTACCTACCTGTGTCTGCCTGGTTGGCACTTTCTGCTCTGCTTTCTGAGCTTGCACTCCTCAACCAGGTTTGAGAGATTAACTCCCTAAACTAGCGGTAAGAAAAACGTTTTTGATTATCAGATATAACCCTCACCAGATGTAGCCACCATCAGATGAACTGAGACTAACTTGGACAGACCCAAGAGAAGCTGAAATCGTCAGAGATCGGCATAGAGGATATTTACCTCCCTGACATGCCACCACTTCACAAAACACGCACACTACGACGCGTGCTGTCAAGTCGTGGCTCACTTTAATCATCACTTTAATCATCTCTAAGAAAGTTAAAAAATCTGGTGACACTGCGTGAGTGAGGTTAGGTATGAAGAGAGGCCTCCCGCTGGCTCGGCCAAGCGAATCACTGAGGTGAAATATTTCTCAACCTAAAACTCGGGACGTTTCTCAACAGTTTTGCTTTGCTGACCGTGGAAGAAGCGTGCGGCGATGTCCACGCAGCCTACTTCTGGCAACGGGTGCATGATTTGCAGTGAACAACCTCTCCGATGAGTAATCATTGTTTAGGTTAAGATTTTACCAGCAGCACAAAAAAAACGTAGGTTTTTTAATGATCAACCAGGTAAATATCAATTTTTAACCACATGTTATTTTGTTTTACAGTCAAACAGCTTCCACTGATTCGACCTTCTCACGGTTTCATGTTCTCTTGTTTAAATTCTACTGCAAAGCATTGAACAATGTTTAGTAGTAGTGAATATTGAAAAGACATCAGCTATTCGGCAGTGAACGTTCACTGTCAGTTAACTTTCTTTCCTTCATTATTTCCGTTTAACAAACCCTGTTTGAAGTACGTCATTCCACCCAATTGACCTGATCACTAATCGATCGATTGGACCTGTGATAGAAGGTGTCAGCACAGATTAATAGCTGGACACTGAAATGTTTGCCATTGATGTGTGTGGTGAAAATGTGCAGATCAACAAATTCTCCCCCAACAATATGGGTAAATTAGCGAGTTTTTGGCACTTTGCAGTGGAACTGCAACTCAATGCTGAGGTCTGTTAAAAAATATATCCTGTTTTAACTGAAAATGATTCCAAGTGGATTTTAAAATCAGCAATAAAAACGGCAGAGGTCAAACTATGTATGGTTCACTATGTGAAGTCAGAGTCAACCTGAACAGAATATAATATGGAGCTGACTGTGTTGCAGCTACATCTAGTGGCAGCGTGGAGACGAGCCGGTTGGGTGTTACAGACGATATTACAGCAACGGATGCAGCTCAGTTTCTCCATGCAGTCTTATAAGTGAACACAATCAACGCCAGTTCTGAATGATATTACATTGTTGAGTTGCAGTGTTTGTGGGCAGCGTGTGGATCATTTCATGGGGGTTACGGCATTGTTTTGTTGGACAGCTGGTCTTGAACAGGCCCAATGACCCTGCTCAGGGTCACCCAGGTCCGGTAGGAATCACATGGCTCCCAATAGAGAATCTCAGGAGATTTGACAAACAAATCCTTTAAGTCTTCCTTTATTTCTCATAAAGCATGGAACCATCCTTACCCGGGCTTAGCTCAGGGTTACTGCTTTGATGTTGGTGCGGACCTCTTACCTCCACATGGGAAGAGGTCAGTGATAACTCCACTTGAAGGTTTCTAAATCCTTTCACACTTCAAATCCTTCAGCATATCCTTTTTTTTTGCCGTGGCCACATCTGTTAGAAAAGAAGATTAGGTTGGAGTCAGGCAGGAACAAAAACTATCACCCGGCCCATAGAAGGATAAAATACGAGACTGGCGTCCCGTGGGGTGAAGCACATTTTTGTGCGCCTACTTCCTTAAAATGTTTAGATCCAGGATGCTTACAGAAAACGCAGGTTCTGGCTGTGGCGCTTCTGCGCTGGGAGGCAGAGCCTTGAGATCCTCGTGCTTTAGACGGCGAGTAATCCCGGAGAGATTGAGTTGGAGTCTGGGAGTTTTTGAGAGGGTTTACGGAATAATGAATTCCTCCCCTGGCTTCTCAATGATTGGTCAATGGCCAGCAGACTTGGGTCGGTCATCACAAATCAACCCAGCAAATCAGTGTGAAGATTGCTGCCAGCGGCGGAGGGAGTGATTGGAGATAATTGTGTTTGCAGGTCCCTAAACGGGCTTCTTGACGAGGGGCTTTGTTGTGTAATTGCGCGCCTTCCCCCGCCGACAGTAATAAAGGATTGTTAAATATGTATTTCCTCACACACAGAATAATATAAATCCTAATGCAACTTGCGCAGTATAAACTCGTGACGCCACCGATCCAGAAAGGTGAGAGTTTACTAAATATTTGTTGCTTATTGTTTGGTTGTAGTTGGCATGGAGATGGTCGAAACATCAAACCTTTTTCTTCCTCAAATCAAGGCCACACAATTCAGTGGACTACTATGCTAGACATGTGACTATTGGTTCTCCGAGACGGGTCGCTCATAGTTTATGAACCCATATGGAACTCAAACGTTTACTATGTTTACATATTTATGATCAACCAGTAATCCCTATGACACTGATATCCAAAGTCAATATGTGTTGTGTAATTGATCATTTTCCAAAGACAAGTGGGATGTGTTAAAATGTTTGAAAGACTAGTTTTTTGGCAAATATCACAAAGCGGTTACGTTAATATGAGCAGTATGCGCGGTTGCAATTAAACGGGAATATTAGTAGAATTCTAATCTCAACATTCGCCATGTACACAGCAAAACATGTAAACACGTCAATGTTTTGGTCATCTGTGTCTATGAGTCCAAATACTGTGTGAAGAAACAAAGCAGCTTGTTGTGCTGCCTCCAAATGACCAATACCTAGATTCATGCCGGGTTAATCAGCCATAAATACACCACTTTATCAACTCTGAATACGACACAAAAATCTAGATCTGGAGACATCCGTACGCCTCGGAGGGCTTCTCACCTATTCAAGAGCTTATACGAATCACTGTACATTGAGTAATTGGAAAATTCTCTGTTTATTCTCCGTTGCACACGATAAAGATGAAATACAGGGACTAGTAAAAGTTGTCACATTGTAACAAGACATTCATCCAGCTCGTCATCTTTCAAGTTGGACTCTGAGGTTGTGCATTGCGAATAAAAGAAGAAGGATGATTAGTTAACTGCTGTTTGGCGAGGCAGAGATGCAGAGAGAAACAGAAATGAAAATGTGGCGACAAGGTGTAGGCGGTCGAGTTGGCATCACACCTCCGTGTGTCCATCTCCTGATCATGTTGTGATAGACAGACAGTGTCGCTTTAGACGTAAATCAAGCATCAAACATCAGAGGTGGGGTAAATCGGGATGAAGGCGTTTTTTAAAACTCGGATACTAGGATCAGAGTGCCACCAAAGCCTCTCTGTAGCTTAATAACAACTTGAGCTGTTTTTCGATTTCATCCGCCCATTACTTTTTGTTTTTTTTGTTTTCTTTTTAAACCCTAACATCACGGGCCTTTCAGGTATTGTAGTACAAGCGAGCAATCACAAAACTACTGACAATATGCAACATGCCCAACATGAAACAGCAGGGAGCGCAACAAAAAAAACCTCCAATTAAGGAAAAGTGCCCCAATTAAGGCTAAAAGGAGCATGAATATTGACCTCTAGTGGTCAAAATCACCTGATTTCATTCAACAGCGTAGAGAGACAGACAAGTCTGCAATGCTTTGTTTGAGGGATATTCTGCCCGGCCTGAAAGTGCTATCATGTCTAATTAGGGAAATATTGATATTGTTTGCTGAAACATTTCCACTTCTCGTTTTCAGGTTTAGTGTGGAGAGAACAAAAAATAATGATTGAAGACGTGAAATTACTTTTTTTAATACTCTTTTTAAAGCTGCAAAATGAGCGCTTCCCGAAATGCTGATAATGTGGCCCAGAAAAGAGTTTAGTGAAATTATCATGACAATAATTCCTTGCACTCACTAAGCACCACATTAGTAGCGGAAAATACTCAACGACAATTCCCAGTTCCCTCGTCTGAGAAACATCCGGTGCCCAAACACAGTGCCTATACCTCCTTCAGGAAATTAATCAGCCTTTTAAAAAAAATGAAAACTACTTTTTGTCTCTTGTCTTTTGTCTCTTACAGAGCGATTGTAAACTATTCAGAAAGCCCTTATACTTTACATTTCTTGTTGTTGTCTATATATTATATTACATATTTTTTAAGAACTGAAAAAATAAATAAAATAAACTAAAATTATCAAATTAAATAATATAAAATAGATAATTACTTATTTAATAAAAAATATTGAATCTAATTGAGATACTTGATGATCACAGGTCTCCATCTTCAGGTCTCTTCAATTCCGTCTCTTCCGCCCTCCATTAGCTACGTCATTATTTACGTTTCACGTTGAGCCAAACAAGAGAAACATTTGTTGCATATTTGTTATTATCAGTAACATCAGTGAAATCCAAAGGACCTCTTCCTGTATAAAGGGCTTTTCTCTGCATGCAATTCATATCCGCATTTACATTTGTGTCATGATGATTCTCATCACGCAGTTTCTTTAAACTTTTAAACTTTTTAAAAACTTTTTCGGAATATTTGTATAGCAGTGTGTCTGTTTGTATGCTAAATATATTGATGTCCTTTAAACCATGTCTGGTTCATTTTCAACCCGTCTCTGTCGCTCCTTGCAGTGAAAGCCAAGCTTTCCCCCTTGTGATGTACACATCTGCCGTGATGTAGAGCTGCACTACCAAACTAACACAACATCGCTGCTGGCTTTCAAACAAAATGCAACACATTTGAAACGTTCAGCCAGACGTAAGTGCAACAATATCGTATGTGCCATCAAAGGTGTTTCATCTCAACAGTCAACAATAGAAGTTTTACATCACACCATATTTCATCACAAACTGCCACACTGAAGTCCGTAATTGTCTGATTTCACATTCTGGGCCTTTGGTCTTTTGGTGTTTACATCTATTTCAAAATGAAATACGATATAAACGCCAAACATCTAATTGTGACATTACATTCAGCTGTTTCTCAGTGCTGCCAATGCTGGTGAAACACAATAATACTAACTGCTCTACAATAAATTTAACTTCAAATCTAATGAGCTTTGCGGTCTGCGTGAGCAGCTGGCAGTTACCTCTGTTATAACTATGCAGGAGCGCCAGAACAGAGGTTTCAAAGACGGAGCTGAATTTATCACTGGACTTCATCTTCACGTCCAGTGATCATGATGTCTGAACAAAATCAGTTGTAGAATCAGAACCTGAAAAAGTATTGGGTATGTTTTATTCCATGGACGCAACACAACAAGTGCTTTGGTATGCACCCACGTTGCATGTAACCAGATCAGACTGTCTGCGTGTCGGACGGCTGCAGTAGTGCCTCTGAACATGGACTGCATCCACATACAAAAAGTCATCTGATGAGGATTCTGGATCATGGAGTGAATACCCAGCTGAGATAATCCCAGTCTCAGTCTCAGGTCAGATCACAGTAGACTGTTGACATTACACGGGCCAAGAATTCTTCATCTGTGAGCAGACTCGAGGGTCCTATCTTCAGAGTGGTCCTAGAGAGTCCTGGGACTCCTGCTCGTTAGCCAGCATCGTCCGCCCGTTGTCGCTGTAGCTCCGATTTGGTAGGAATGACAATCTGAAAAACAGACAGAGTCCCTCAGTAAACTTTGCACCGGCTCATCATTACGTGGATTGCTCTACACACAAACTTGTAACGTGAGTTATACAAATAGTAGTGCGTTACTTTTTGTAGCTGCCTTTGAACCAGAATGTCAAGAAATCCATCATCACAGAGACTTGCACAATAAGAATAAAGCAAATACAACACAAACTATCACAAAAGACAGTGAAAATGTATTTTTCAAATAATCTTGAAAAAAAAAAGGTTATGTGGACTTTAAGGTCCAGGAAAAGTAGTCTCATTGTGGTGCATTGTGGGAATAAGCACTGAGTTTCGGTCGTGCAGTCGGTGGAAGTAGAAGAGAATGGAAATGATTAAAGAGCGACTGGGAACTAATGTCTGCATTCTTCTCAAAGTAGGCAGCAAGTCTTCGGCCAAGAGGAAGGAAGTGGCAGGAGAAAAGAGTTAAGTTTATGATGGCAAAATTCCATTTATATAAAAAAAAAATAGCTTTTCAAAATATTTATGAAGGTAAATACTTGGTTGAGTTCAATAAAAAAGCAGCACAATATACTTCAAATCCAAATAGGTATTTTATATTTTTGCTGCGTTTTTTATTTTTAGAAACACATACTATATATTGTAAAAATGGATTAATTACATAGTCATGAAGAGCGTTTTTGGAACCCAACATGGGTACTTAGGCTGGTTCGAACTCCTTAGGAAAGGAAACATTAAACTGACACTTGATCCCGGTGCCAACGGAAACCCTGAACTAAGTGGCAGAAGCGCTTTGCTGTTGAGGACAGTCTGTGTGAAGAGCTCATGAGCAAGTGATTAAGAGAAAACACACGTTGGCACACACCCCCTCGCGCACGCACACACACACACACACACACACGCACCAACAAGCAAACACACACCTGAAGGGAAGTCCGGGTGGATTCCTTCTGGTAAGTCCCAGTAAGCTGTTATCAGACTATTTACTACAGCGACCGCAGACACACACACACACCCAGTCACACACAGGCATGTCCAGGGAACAGAAAATGTTCTTTAACGTTTATTCCTCTTTTGTCTGGACGGTAATGTGTTTACAGTCCAAACACACTGCGTCAATCTCTCCGACGCACAGCCGGGGTTGAGACTGCCAACAGCCACCAGAAGAAAGATCAGCGTTAGATAATACCGAGGAGGAAATTCAAGAAAACAAGTATCCGGATAACAAATAATGATGGCATTAAGGGTCCAAGGCCAAAAATGTCACTGCAAAAATGTAACCTTGCAAGTCCAGTGTACTGAAGCATGAATTGTTGAAGCGTCCTTCAATAAGTATATTTTATGGGTGTAATAGAAACTCTCTGCATCTGTTGACTTCCCAAAAATATCTGTATTGGCTTACACCAGAAGTTGTTAGAAATTGTACAGTACAGCATTCAATAGCTGTTTAATGCAATTTCTGCTGTCAGTTTATTAAACTCACACCTATACGTTTTGCTGCAAACTAAATCATCAATAATTTAAACTTTTAATTTTGAGACGATCTGTAACTCCAACTAATCTCCGGCTGCTTTCAAGTGTCACACTTATCAGTATCAGATCATGAGGTAAAAACATCCTTGCAACCTCAGTCAAGCTAATTTCCACACCGATCAGTTGAAACATGGTGGAAAGTTAGTGTGGATAAACTCATTGTGTATTTAGCTGACTAAAACCTCGTTGTTCTGCTCAAGCAGTTCCTGATTTCACTACAGACAGCAATCACCTCCTGGATACCGGAGCAAAAAGAATTTGACAATCATCAGCCGAGATCTTAAGTCATAAGGACGTTTGTCTGGGGGGCAAAGAGTGAATTCAAGTCGTAAGTCAACAGGAAGCGTCAGCCAGCAGCAGCTGCCCCTACTGCCCTGAGGAAGATTAGGCATTTATTGAGTTTATTTTCAATTAAATTGTCATGCAAAAGTCCTCAAATAGACCCTTTTGTGAATTTATTTATTCATTATTTATTTAATGAGGCATAACAAAACCCTGCAAATCCCTGAGATCTGACCCTTTACCGTAATATGAGAAAACCAGAGGCAGAGTCTTTGTAGGGATAAAGTCCATGAACAAATTCATGCTTACATGAAGCATCATTAAGCTAAGCTTTTTTTTTCCTGAGCGGACCCCGGGATTCAATTTCATCCTTCAGCTTTTCAAACCAAATAAATGTGTTTGTGCAGTTTGACGAAAACCCTTAAATACGACTCATAGAGCAAAGCGCCTGTTCATGCTTCTGATCACCACTAATTAATCCCCATTAAGCAGAGAAACGGCACTGACTTACTGCATTTATATGGTTCATAAGCAAGACAAAAAGCATGATATCCTGTTAGCAGATGTTTGGACTATACGCACATCCGATGATGTATACGACACTTCGTCAAGTGCAGTTTCAACTCGGCAATTTTATATTATATATGTTATATTTAGCTTTAAAAGAAATTCAGCAGCCCCCCCCCCTGCCCCAATGACAGATCATTCCCAGAGTTATTAAAAAAGGAGGGAAAGAGAGTATTCACATTTTCCCACATGGTAAATCAAATCGTATAACATCACTCTGTCCGCGGAGAGTTTAGTGGTCAACTCCCTCCAGAGCTTTGCCTCCCGCGTCTCCTCTGTTTGGCTCTCTGCGTTGGTTTTTCACCGTCGATTTTGGAGGTAAAGAAAAAAGGTTGAGACATTTTTTTTCTCGCGATACGTGTGCAATTCAATTTTCCATTAACTTTTTCATTTCGATGGCAGGCAAATGTTTGGTGAGGTTGCGTAAGCTGTCAACCGTGATTAAAGATGAAAACCCTGCCGGTTAGAAGGAGAGAAAGCAGAAATGAACTTCTCTCGTGGGAACCAACAAATACTTTTCTGTTTCTATTCCGACACGAGATCAGCAGTGGCGGGGAAAACAGAGCTCTTGTTTGTGTTAGATTTTCATGACATAACAACATTTTTGTCCCTATTTACAGTGTGAAACTAGTGCATTCAGTAATAATCATCTGGGTCGAGTGACATCGTCCGCCAATCTCACAATAGATTTAAATTGCCTTTACTCACTCGTGCAATTTACAGGATAATTTACTGTTTTTGCTTCGATCTCATTGATATCAGTCTTCTCACTCTCCAACAAAAAGGTCCACTGGGTAGGAATGATGTGGACATTTGGACAAGATGGAATACGATGTCGATAGTCGGTGGAGATCTGTGACCTCACCACTAGACGTTTCAAAATCCCACAAACTGGACTGCGAAATCATTTCAGAATGTTGCTGCTTCTCATGGAAACATCACAGACCTACGCAGTCAAGACTGATCCATGCGTTTGTTTTTTTGAATGAAAACCATATTTTAGTTGTATTTGTGTACCTGTCGTTCTTCAGGAGGCTTTTCTTTGAGAAAATATAGAACCCGCAATGTTCATGCCAAGAGACGACACGTATTTACAATCAGCTTGATCAATCTTTCCCATTTGAATGTCCCATCTTCCTGTTAAAATGCTCCCTTTCACATTTACCTTTTTGTTCAGCACTCCAGTTGTTAAAATTTCCCGTCTCATATTACTCAAAAAACAACAAGGCATGTCCTGTCACATAGCCGGCCCCCGTGACCTCAAGACAGATTGGCACGAGATACAGGAGAAGTTTGTGTTCCTTTAATTTAGCGCTAATATCGGGGGGACATTCAATTAAATAATAAATAATCCATTTGGACTCTTATCTCCTCGCTTTGAGGGCTGAAGAAGAGAGGAAGGAGCGCTGATGGGGGAGGAAGATAAGGAGCACTTTCCCACAGAGACCCTTTGAACACAACTAGAGGACTTAGCTTGGCTTTTTCCAAGCAATCTACTCACATCCACTTCTGATAGGCTGCATGTGTCACGTGTTTGACTTACAAACTGAGGACAGAATCTTTAGGTCGAACACACAATCTAATGAATGCTTTTATTAAATAGAATTAAGAATCAAACACTTCAGCTTTGGCCTACACACACACACACACACACACACACACACACGCACACACACGCATACATAAACAGAGCGACAAGTTTGGAAGCCCTCGAGGGAAATTCAGCGGCTAATTGGCAGTGTGAATTCTCGAAGACACCCTGGAGTCTGGGCCCTTAAGGAGTCCACTACAACTAATATGTTGAGTCGAAATCCCAGTTTTAAAACGTCAAAGAACCTGAACCGTATTGACGCACACGTCCTGTTGTAAACGCGTTAGAGCTCGTCTTCTGCGCTGATTTCAGGTCCACTTCCTTTCAGAGCCCTGGGAGTCATTCTTGATGAGACCAACTGGGATGAAAACACGGAGAGAGACAACAGACCATCAGCTAATAAATAGAAAGTGTACTGAAACAAATCCCCAAACTCAGGATAAGCTTCACAGAACATGAACACAAACCAAACAAGCGTGAAACGATCAAATTCATCAGCATGATCTGGGTTTCTAGGACAGAAAATCTTCGGCATTTCATGTTTCTGTTAATATTTTGGCGACAGGCGCTGTGAAAGAAGACATATTTCCATCCGATGACCCAACGCCGCCTCCTGACAGATCTTTAAGAAATAACATCTCACTTGTTTCTGTTAGCGACTTACTGGCAGGGCTTTCTGTTGACTTTCAGATTTGGTCTCAAGTAGAGCGTTCTGTCCTCTAGTATGACGCGTCCGTCATGCTACACTGAAATATTTAAGGAACCGAAGAACACTTTTATTAGACTCTCGTGAAAGGAAAACTAAAGAGAGGATGTGTGGTTGAGAAGACACATTGAAATCATACTTTATAAATCTATCCAATCCATCTCACTTCCTGCTCAGAGATGGACCTGACAGTGACACGTTGCTTCTATGCTGGACACTGTATGTCTGCAGATTTGTACTCAGTGTGTGTGTGTGTGTGTGTGTGTGTGTGTGTGTGTGTTGAAAATAAAAGATCATTTTAGAAGTTTTCCAGAGCATTAAACCTAACTTTAACAT